CTCAGGTCATCATCTCAGGGTCCTGGGATGGAGCTCTGCATGGGGCTCACTACCCAGCAGGGAATCTCCTTCTTCCTCTCCCTCCTGTTCTGCCCCTCTCCCTGCTTGTGTGTGCGCAAGTGCATGCATGGGCTCTCTCTCTCTCTCTCTCTCTAATGTAAATAAAATCCTTAGAAACAAACACTAGTACTAACTCCCCTCTAGGGCCAGCTGTCTAATTTGTCTCCAGTATGATCACATATCTCTAATCTAGGCAGGCCTGAAAGCATTTGGAACAACAGGGACAGGGCTAGAGTGAGTATCCTGACCTCCAGGAGTACTTTTCTGAAGGATAACAATCATTTTGATTTATAAATTCAGGTAATGTAGTTTTAAAATTATTTTACATTCTTGGGTTAGTGTGTGTTGGTCAATCTGCATTGAGAGACATGTCGCAAGCAGAAAATATGTGCTTGCCTGTTGTTGCTTATCTTAACTGTGAACATCTTTACTAAGCAACCACATTTATGAGGAATTACTGAGGCAATTCCAGAGCTCAGGGGTGGGGAGGGTGGCGCTTTGGAGAGTACTTAACCTACTTGCCTCAATTTCAGGTAAGAAAAATCACAACAAAAAGAAAACATAACAGAGAGGTTGCATGACCTTCCCAAGGAAACCTGGCCCCACCAGTAACACAGGTGTCTGGTGTCTAAGCTTTGAACTCAGCTCTGGTCCTGGATGACGCAGCAATGGCCTTGCATTCCATTTTAATGTAAGATGGCAAAGGAATTTACTGAAGTACTTTTCATATATTATATAACTCACATGAGAACTCTACGAGATAGGTGTTATCGCCCTCATTTTACACATAAGGAAACAGAATCCTGGGCTCAATCATTTGCCTAACGTCATAATGGCCACAAATGGCAAATCCAAGATCAGGACTCCATCTGGTGTAGAGAAAAGTCCAGTTCCAGCCACAATCTCATGCTGCTTGCCGCCGCCTTGTGCACACACGGAAAGGCACGGGTTTTGAAAGCTGATTATACTGTTTTCCTGCTACACTGCTCCCCAGTCTACAGGCTGTTACAGATGAAAACACGAATCATCCTTGTCTTTCTGACCCCATGCAAGCAACACTCAGCCTGTTTCCAGGTATTATAGCTTTCTGAAAGTCATAAAATAGCTATCTTAAAAAAAGAATCTGTTATTTGGGAGTTTCTCTATTTGACATTGACCATCCCACCCATGGATTAGCTTGGATCAATGAGTCTTACTATATTTTAACATGGTCAGATTTTTACTCTCAATCAATAGGAAAGAGCATGAAAGCAAAATCAGGTTTGTTGAATGGTTGGTTATATCATGTTATGTATGTATGTTTGTTTTATTTATTTATTTACTTATCTATCTTGGCCAACACTTCACCCCTCATAGCATAAAGGAAGACTACTATTATCATTCCTGTTGGAATTATAACTGATCAGAATTAATGAAATTCAAATTCACCATCAGATTTAAGATATTATTACTAGATAATATATACTTATTAGAAATAATTAACAGGACACAAATATTTCTAAAGCTATTATTAAAATAGAAATAATTAGGCTTCCCCAAGTCTTGATTATCTTTTCCTTTATTTTTCTCCTTTTTTCTTAAAAAATAAAACGCTTGGTTTACTTAGGCTGATGACAAGAATGTTAATTTTAATTAATCCTTACAATTAAGTATTAAAGAGATCCCTTGCTATCTCCTGAGTCCCTAGGAAATAAATCCATATATCTCTGGCTCTATAATTTACCAGACTGGAGTTACTCAATTACTCAGAATATATACATATGCTGATTTTAGGAATTTATTAAAAGGAAAAAACTTTCCAGGAATAGCTTGGTGTTAATAATTTTCTAACTAAGTGAAGATCTTACACATAAAACACCTTTGTTTCTACTCTTTTGAAACCTTTCTTAGTAGGTTTCCAATCTTTCTTGTCCACCTGAGGCCTTGCAAGTGAGCATAGCTGAATCTTTCCTTTAAAATTGGGTATGTTATTGTCTCTAATACTTTTATCTTGTGTAGGTACAAAGATGCAGAAGTTACATAAAACTGAACTGACTGGAAATGACCCCTAAGCATTTAAAAAAAAAGGGGGGGGATATTAAAACAAAGAAGCCAACCACAGAACACACAAAAACCTCCAATATTTAACTTGTGAATGTGTGAGACACTTTTGAATAACGGGAAATGCTGGCTGAGTATTCTAATTGACATTCTGCTGCTTGAGTGCTACTAAAAATGTACTCATCGTTCATTTATTCAAGTATTTACAAAATTTCCAGGATTTTCCTAGATGTTTGAGATACACCAGCGGGCAGACAAAAAAAACAAAAACAAAAACAAAAACAAAACTCCTACTCCTCCTGGTGGAGCTTACATTCTAGCAGGGAAAGAATGGAGGAGGGTGAGGAGAATCAGTTTAGAGGAAGAAGAATTACACTTTTAAATTGGGTGGTCAGTGTAGGCCTTATGGAAAAGATGACATCTGAGAGCAAAGAAATGACGGAGAAAAGTCAGGTGACCACTGGGCAAGAACACATGTGGCAGAGGGGATAGCACAAGTAAAAAGGTAGGGTGGAATGATACCTGGTCAGAGAGGCCAAAGTAGGAAGGGAGGCAGGGGGGCGGTGGGGCAGGGTGGTAGGGACGGGGGTGTGCATGTGTGTACGTATGCATTTGTGTGTGTGTGAGAGAGAGAGAAAGAGAGAGAACGAACATACGTACTAGAGGGTACTGTGACTGTAATCTTCCCTTGACCATGATTCCCCGTCAAGAGCCAAAAATGTCACTAGGCTGAAATATCGTGGTGGTGCAGCCACAGATCAAAACAAAGATGCAATTATTATCATAGAGACAGTTTTAAAAAACAAAGATAACATTTTGCTTTTCGATTGCTGATCTGATTTCCAAGTGCTCTGACAATCCAGGTCTATGAGATAACACAATGTGGTTGCCTCTACCTTCTGGCCAGTATAACAGAGCAAATTTCTCAGTCAGAGCCAGCCAGAAAACAGCCTCCAAAATAACCCTTCTCATTCCTGGCAGCTAGACCAGTTTTCAAGGAATCCTGATAAATCACATGAGGTTTTACCTTTAAAGCTTACATGTAACTACGTTAACTTCTTTTACTCAGTAAAAAACTAGGATTAAACATAAATGAACAAAATGAACGAGAATTCTGTGTGTGCCTGTCTGGGAAGTGAATAATTACCAGGTACATACACAAAATACTGGGATTCATTTGGATAGTCTAATTATACTTAAGAAACAGATTTTTCAGAAAGGTACTCTGCTTTGCTAAATGACTGTCAATATGAAAATACATGGCATTAGTTATTTCAGCTAAAGAATGTCAAGAACTGAATAATCAAGCATTGGGTTACAAAGTTTAAAAGTTAATACAGCAGCACAGAGTATTTGTATTAGTGCTTTAAGTAGCTAAATTAAATTGAAATGTGTCTCTTAAGCAGTCATTGAACAAGCAAGATGAGAAATAAATTGAGCTTCACTTAGGCCTTTATGGCATCTAACAACTGTGTCTGTCAACACACGGATCCTTTTCACTGTCAATTCAACACACATTTTGCAGACCTTGGGCCTGCAATTATTTCATTTCCTTTCTTGGAAATGTAATTTCCACTTACTTTTGGAGAATAAAAGACAGACAAAAGGAGGAAGGAGTTGCAGTATTTTCTGATTAAGATTATCTGTATAAAATGGTAAAGGGAAAAAAATCTATACGCGCACACTGAAGCATTTCTCAGCAACTAACCTGTCTCAGCCAAATTGCTTTTGTGTCTGGATATTGGTTCAGATGTAGCCAGATTGTTGATGTCAAATTAGGTGTTAAACAAATTTAATAGGAAAGATGAAGAATGAATATAGATCATCTTTCTGTTAGAATTGTTCAAATGACTCCAGTCAAAAGAAAGGAAATGCATGACCACAGGAGAAAGTGTGCTTTTAATTAAACACAATGAAATGAGATAAAACTGTAAATCAGCAAAGAAGGCCATTCATTCCAAAAGAGAGGGGGGGGAAAAAAAGTTAATAGGGCCAGGGAGAGAAATGCAAGAGCGCAAGAAAATACCAGTTGGCAAAAATAGATCTAAATTGAATTTCAACTTCATTTGTCCAGGCTTCACCTTTTAAACTAAGACAGGTAGAGCTACAAAAAAGAAAAAAAAAAAAAAGGCTTCTTTCTCTCCTGAGAGAACAGGAAGTCAGGGGTTTTAATTAACCATGATTACAATATTCGGCTGATCTGATTTGTCTCACCTCTTCCTTTTCTTCAAGTGGCAAACCGGTTGACATTCTGGCAAGAGAACTAGAGCAAAACCAGACCAATTTCAAAAATGGGCCTGCCCTCTGTTATAAAACGAATTGACCCTCCACCAGATCTGTCTGAAACACATTCAACAGCAGGATTAACTCTTCGACAAAGTGCTACTTTCCCAAAGCAAGTCTGGGGAGGTAACTCTTGACACAGTAGCTCTTCACTCTCAAGAGAGAGCAGTACTAAGGCACATGCACATCTTTAACTCAGGACCAGAAAATCAGGTTCTAAAAACATCCCCTTCAAAGTACATTTCAAAGATCTAGTATCTTCCTTGACTGCTCATAAATCATCAAGAGAGATGATCCAAACATTTAATCCGAAAGAATGATTAAGGGCCTTGTGATGCTGAATCATTATCATCCAGGGGAATTCTCTGTGTGGAAGAAGAACCTGATTACCAAACCAGTTTAGGGAAGGAATTCTCTTTATGCATATCTGCTCTGGATCAGAAAAAGACTTCTAAGCCAGGAGCCTCAAATCTCAAGTGAGCTCATCAAACAAAGGAAGAAGAGTAGTTATTGGCTAACCCGATCAAAATCTGTCTAAAGAGGAATAAAGCAAAGTAACACACAGTTTAGTCATCACAGATTCTTCTACACACTTAGTAAAGAGCATCATTACTTACTGAAATGTAACCTTGGAACTTGTGCATCCTTCCAATTTACACGACCCTTCACCTGGCTCAGGTGTTGGGGGGGACGGGCTGTTGAATTCTGCCTCCAGAGTTTTCTTGTTCAAGGCTGTTTTTGTTACACTGGATACAGAACCCAACACTGGCATGGATTTGGACTCTGAGGTGGCTAATATCCCGGTTGGACCTTAAAACCAAACACATACCTCAAGTTTAATAATTCTGTGCAATGCTTATTAATATGGTACTGAAAAACAGATTAGCCGAAAATCCCTCAGGAAGTGAGAAGGCCAAGTTTTGTTAAAATTTAGAGAGCATGCTGGAAAATGCTCCTATTAGAAATATGCTCTGTTTGGATGGTACTACTGGCTTTTCAATGCACCAGGACCACGCTGAGAAATTACGTACAGACCTTTAAGAAAGCACAAAACCCCAGGCCACGGTTCCCTCTCTGACCGGAGTCCTTATTAATAGCAGAATTGGGAAAATTCTTTTCTTCTCGGAGTATGGCTTTCTGACAGCCCTACTTGAAAAATTTGGCCTCTCAAGAGTTAATTCTTCCCAAAACTCAGCTTTGCGTTTTAAACCGCAAATGGAACAATGTCAAAAGGCTCTTTTTAAAAGGCTCATGAAGGCTTCTTAAGCATTAAACAGCTTTTATGAACATTTTCATTTTAATGTGATTGAGAAGTAAGTGGATTTATTTCCTGTTAAAATACAGACACAGGATTCTAAAAATTAAGTGGCAAAGAGTTTGGCTGTTTACCTTTTGGCCCTTTCTGCTCTTTGGGATAGGACTAAATGACTGTAATAGAGCTCGTTACTGAAATTATTGGCGTACCATCCCAACTCCCGGGCCCTGAAGCGAAGTTCTCTCATTCCTTAGGTTCTACCTTTAGTTAGAAAGACACTACCCCTCGCCAGTAGCTTTTTTCAAAGCAAGATTCCAACATGTCTTCCCTGAAGCCTCAGAAGAAATCTTCATAAAACAAAGAGACTTATGTAATAAGTCATAAATGTACAGATAAAATTAGAAACTTCCAAAAATTCAGCTAGAGGACAACCTTGAAAGGTGCCATTGAAAAAAAGGACAAAACTTGGGAGTCTCTTATTCCTTGAGAAATGTCCGATCATCTCCTAAAATGGAAAAGTACTAGTGGGCACAATCCAATTAAATGCTAGCGGATCCCTGGTCATTAATGTTAAGTGCTGGAATGTGAGATGTGGAACTCTCACATCTGCAGATGCCTGCGTCTGAGGCATTCCAACAGTATAACCCAGCAGCTCCAAAACTCAAGTTCTGATGTCAGAAACCTCCTGAAAGAGGGGCTGGGGAAATGCTCTCCCATTCTGTGGCTGCACCTCCAATGGCCACCCTCCCTGTGGGAGACACAGCCAGACCCTCTATGGCTCCGGGGGAAAGCCTCAGCTCCCCAAAGCTTGCCTTCCTCCTTCAGGTCATCTCCACCAGCTGCACAGACAACCTTGTGACATCACTGAACATCCTGATTCAAAAGACCTCTCCCTCCCACCCAGGATAAGCCTCCTGGTGCCTGGGGATGCAGGAGTAAAGACACAGAGGTGCAGAAAGATCAAGGAAGATCCTGAAAATACAAATAGGAAGTTGAATTCAAGATTTGCTTCTGAGCTGCTCTGTTCTGCCCTTGGGTAGTTGCCGACTACAATGCTAGACAGCTTTAAGCAATCTGTCCTTGTAGGAAAGCAGATCTGCTTCTGAAAACACCAACACCTGCTGCTTGTTCTGTAAATGAAGCCAGCCACAAAGGACAGAGAGTGGGTGAGCTGAGCTGGAGCTCTAGTTTTTCTTACATACAAAAAGAAATAAAGAAAAATGCATGATGTTTTAGATTATTATTATTATTATTATTATTATTATTATTATTATTATTATTACTGTATCCTGCTTAAGCTGTCCAAGGTTTTCCAAGAGGCACTTGCTGCTCTTTGAAATGTCGGCCTGGGAGGCCATAAGTCTTGAAAGTGTCAGTGAGGTTTGATAAGAGAAACCCTAGATAGAACGTGCTTCGCTGGCCCCTGAGGGAGATACCAACTATCCTGGGATCTGAGGTCTGCAAACCTGGGGCTGCCCCCCACCTTGCCTCTCTTACCATGCTTCCTGTCTCCACCATGACCTCACATTAGCTTCCCCATAAAGCCTTTGTGTACAAAAGGAAAAAAAAAAATCTCAAGAGATCCAATCGCACCTGAAGCCATAAACTTACCGAAGTCATCTCTAATTTGCAGCATGCAGCCTGCTAACTTTAGCTTCTTATTCTGCGCCCCTCCCTGAACCCCTCCTGGATTTTCACTCTGTCATTCCACGACCCTTATAAAAAAGGTTTATTTGGTAAATACCTCTTCCAGTTCTACACTAGAAAAACATTGGTATCATCTTAAAAAAAAATAGGTATGATTTCTTTTACTAGATGACAGAGTTTGTAAGTTTGTCTCCTCCCCTCATTCCTGCCTTTTCTTTTTTTGCTTTGGCTACTAGGGAGCTCCAAAGAAAGTTTCTACTCAGTTACAGGTCACTCTCCTCAGTACGGTTCTTCTCTACTCTGCCAATTACAGAGTTCTTGTTTCTCTATGCAAATACTGATGATTCTATTGAATATATACCTTATTTTAACATCCCTCAAATGATACATTAAATATTTATAAATTGGTGAAATATAATAAATAAAATGAAAGATTCTCACCATGCCTATACAGTGTGCTCCTGCCTTCTTTCTCCGTTCTTTGAAATATTCAAATTACCATATTGACTAAAATCAAAATGTTTCCTTATTTCTCCCACTGAAAACTAACTCTGAAATAGTGCTGTACATCTGACCAAGTCCATGAGTGAAGTGACAAGGCTTCCACAGGAACAAAATACAAAATGTAAATGACAGAGAACAAGAACGGGACCCACAGAGTCCTAAACAATAATGATGGCTGTATGACTCCTTCAAGGATGCAATGCTGGAAGAAGTGACTGTCACAAAATGAATAATGATTCGTTGTGGAGGCTGGTAAATGCTTATAAAGCAATTCTAAGGGAAAAAAATCTCTTAGAGCACCCCTTAATTTTCCTGAGAGGTGATTATTTTTTGGGGGAAGGAATTCGTCTAGGATATTAACAGCAGAATTTCCACACCAAATTAAAAACTGAATGGCTGATTTTTTTTTTTTTAAGGAGAAAACTAAAGTTTCATCTTTTTATAATAAAAGTTTGGTTGGTATTATGCTGCTCCTAATACAAGAAACCAATTCACTAAATTGAGTAAAATCCCTATGTGGAAGCTAGAGCCTGATTAACAAACATCTACATCCCTCCTATTCTAGCAACTTAAACTTGGTAAACATGACTCAGTGTAAATTTAAATGGTTACAATGGACCAAATGGAGTTGACTGAATTGAGTCTAGAAGATTCAGCCCATTAGCTACGGCCTGGTTAATTTTACTTTAGAGTAGTTTTTCAAAGCTAGCCTCCTGGCCACAAGGGAAAAACCTCATACAGGTTTCCGCTAATTCCCGTGACCAAGCTGGTGGGGGAAAAAACAAAAACAAAAACAAACCAGAAGACATGCAAAGTTAGTTCTGAGGTCTAATCCATGCACATCATGACACAAATGCAGACTCTCAGCTCCAGACTTGCTCAGATGGTCATTTATAGTTGGTGACAGAGCTGAAATTTCTCATTCGCCTGGTTCACAGGCAGAGACGATGAACAGAACGCACACACAAAGGATAAAGCCGGTGCCTCTGCATTTGTAACTGATGCGTAATTACTACTCTTATTACTAAACCACTGCATGCTGACTTTGTGCCATGCACACTACCAAGCACTTTTCATACGCTGATTTATTCCATCCTTAGGATAATCCTATGAGGTAGTGCTTTTGTTACCCTCATTTCACAGGCAAAGAAACTGAGGCACAGAGAGGTTGAGCCATTTAAGGGCAAGCTGCTTGGAGAAGGCAGGGCAAGGATTCAAAGTCACGTGGTCTGGCTCCAGAGCCTGTACTCAGTGCTACACCATTGCCAGGGCTCCTGAATGTCTGTACTTGGTGGCATCTTGCCTTAAGCAAGCCCAATCTCTAAGACCTTGATTACCTGCAAATAGAGAAATACATAAACAAACATACCAATGAACTAAGATATAGAAGTTCTTATGAGATATCCATGAGTGCCTTTGCCAACCCAATACTTCTCACTCACATTAAAAAAATTTTAGTAATTTTAAGAGATCGTTTTCATGTTAGCACGGGACTTAAAGGCAGATGTCTCAGAGAGGAAGGGTAGAACTGTGGAGAATTCAAACCGGCTTACTACTGCTATCTGCTTCTGCTGTCACCTTTCTGCGACGCAAAATTCTTTCTAACTCAGTTTCACTGTTTTCTGTGTCAAGGGATTTTAAGCTTCTTGAACTAGTGGATTTGTTAAGTGTCCCCTAAAGTGAAAACAAAACAAAAACAAAAACAAAAAGGTTAATGTCTTAATACAATATGCAAAAGAATATTAAAAACCAAATCAGCAAAACATTACCAGAATTTGAATGGAATTAGGAAATAGAATGAATTTGCTGTATATATATATGTATATATATACACACACACAATATATATATATACACACACACATTATTTTTTAATGTGTGTGTCTTTGACAACACATAGTGTTGGATCATTTAAGAAGATGCTACTGAGGATGTAAGACGTTAGCTTTCACACCAAAAGGACAATACGAGAACATCTCTTGATGACTAACTATGAAATTCGGTGGTAGGAAGGTACTTGCGCATTGACGGTTAAGATGCTGATGTGTTGATCAATCTTGTGGAGAAGAGAAGCATATATTGAACTCACCTTAGAAGGTTTTCTTGATACAGCAGCCACGAGCTACTGAACCCAAATTCTTGTGGCACTGAAAAAGTGTGACTGAGTCTTCAGAATGACCCTGGTTCCACACTGGTGGCAATGGTGTCGTGGCAGCCAAAGGAGGTGCATAACACTCTCCTGTGGCCTAGCCAAAGAAGTGCTGCCCTGGGCACACCTTGACATCATTGTGAAAGGGGAAAGGTTATAATGACATAGGGAAGCAATAAAGGGCCTGGCATTGTAATTCCATATTCCTAACAGAGGAGGCGGTGAATACATTATTCAGGGCCCAGAAGATGCTGAAGGAAAAAAGAGATGCCATATATCTGTGCACCTACTAAAATTGGTACTGACTTTCAAGATAACAAAGACCCTGCCTCAGCTCCTCTGGGAAGCATGTTATGGAGGAGACCTATGGCTTTCCGTCTCCCATGACCAGTCAGGTTTTGTACAGAATGCTGGGTAACACACTTCACATCCTGTATGTGAGGACTCAGCACTGCACCATTACCAGGGGTCTGTTTTCTTTCATAAGGAATGCCCACTATTTCTTTGAAATGGCCCTCCTGAGCTGTGCCACGTGCTTTGGGTAGGTGGGGGAGCCAGAAGATCCAATCTTTGGATTACATTAAATCAGAACCTCAAGTCTGGTATAACTTGCCAGACTTAATGCCAAAGTCAGAAGTAGCTTTTTGTCCACCAAGGCTAACAATCAGGCCAGCCTTTGTCACCTCAGCTCACTATGGGTTTGCCTTAATCCTGCTCCTGCCCCCTGCCAACTTCCTGAAGGACTTTAAGAATTCGATTGGCAAAAAATCGTAACTCATGTTTCTTCTTTAGCCTATAAAACAAGAAAAAGTGGCTTGTAATATTAGGTAGTTACAAATCTCATGTGATATAGGTTATTATGTTTTGTTTAGAAAGGTTCTTCCCTAACTGGGTAAAGGCTTGGAGAAGCTGCCTGTGGGGATGGGAAGATTGACAAACAAAATTAAGAGATTTTATTCTTCTATCAGCTACCCTAAACTAAGACTAATGTGTAAAATATGTGGATAATCAAGCATATGATACTCTACCCCCCAAGTAGCTCTTTCTGCTTTTTTTTCATTTGTTGCAAAAATTCATAAAATATATTGAAAGGAAAATCACGTTTCATGTAGCACTGTAATTGTTTATAACTTAAAAAGTTGGATGATGTGGTTTATTTATTTAACAGTTAATGCAGGGCAGCCTGGGTGGCTCAGCGGTTTAAGCGCCTGTCTTCAGCCCAGGGCGTGATCCTGGAGACCCAGGATCGAGTCCCACATCCGGCTCCCTGCATGGAGCCTGCTTCTCCCTCTGCCTGTGCCTCTGTCTCTCTCTCTGTGTTTATCATGAATAAATAAATAAAATCTTTAAAAAAAAAAAAAAAAAAAAAAAAAAAAAAAAAAAAACAGTTAATGCAGATCTGTACCTGCTCATCAAGGAATTAAATAGTAAAATAAGATCAAGGCTGATAAGGTAAAAAAAAAAATGGAACTAAAGCCAATTAAGATAAATTTAAAAAAAATATTAGAAAAACTACTCCCAAATCATGCATTTACAATTTTTAAAAACTTACCAGCTAAGTACTTTGTAAACATGTAAACTTACCATTACCATTAAAATAACTCATGAAACTATTACGTTGTTTGGATGTCAAGAACATTCTTTGATTTTCCCAAAGGTTGGAGTTAATTCAAGAAAAAGATACGTGTCTATGTACACACGCATTCACATACACTTTGCAAGGATATCTTTTAAGGAAGAATTTCTCTCTCATAATAATCTCTACTTTTCATTTGAATAACAGCATTAATCATGCAAATTCTGATCGTGGTGAGCTACCCTCTCATCACACCTGATACTGAAAGGTTCTGTTTTCCAAGTTCTAATCTTTGGGTCTCAAACTTTTGTCTCCATCCACTGACCGATGTGATTGATTCAGCAAATATAGGAGTATGCAGACACTATAGGACTCTCAATTCAAATGACCAAGGAGCTCAGCTAATAAAGTACCAAGACTGTCTATCTTTTTGTATATTCATCATATAGTCTGAGAATCAGAAATTAACTTAGAAGGGACATTATATGCAGAATTCCCTCACTTTACAGAGAAGAGAATTCAAACTCAGTGAGCTTTGGGGTTTGGGCTGGGCCCCACAGTACATCAGTGATGAGGCTAGATGGATTCCCAAACCAGTGTTTAATCTTAGTTCCCACATCGGTTAAATGTTCCTAACACTGGCTAATCTCACTGTCAGGTGACAAGATCAACTATTCTATAATTCCTTCTGGAAAAAACAAAAAACAAAAAACTGAAGATGTTCGGGAAAAACCTAAAAGAGAATTTCTTAGAGGTTGTTTATTTGATTTAGAGACAAGCGAACTTAAAAGAGATTTAAGATTAATTTGTACGGATTTAATCTTGAGAGATTGCTGTTTGCACTTAGAGCGACTTGTATATGACTGGGGTGATTAGAGAGGTTTCCAAAACCTCCCAAAAAACCTTGTGTGATTATGAGAAATAGGTTTTTAAAATCTACAAAACATTCAGCTTTTAAAAATTCAGTGTAAACAGGTGTGGAAAAATAAGTTCAGTTGACACTGAGGCTATAGCAATTGGCTTGGGAAGTGTCCACATCCAAATGGGGTGAGATTTTCCAAATCCCGAAATAGAGATATATTCCTACTTGTGTGCTAACTTTCAGCAAAAGGCTCAATCTCTAAGTTGCAGTGTCCCTACAACTCAGGTCACATTTCATTTCAGCAAAAACACCAGTTTTTCTGGTTTTCTTGGTTTCTGTTCTACAGTAGAGCTGAACATGGGGTTTCTTGGTTTCCAGGTCTCTCTTGGCACAGGTACTGGCTTTCCACCACAGTACATCCCTCGCAGGCTTTCCACGCTCATATGATTTGCTGAATACTAACTCTGAAAACCCTAACGTGCTGGCAAGAAGCACCAATATATCCCCACCTAATAGGGTATATCTTTTCTTTCTCTTTCTCTTATAAGAAGTTGCATGGTTTCTTGGCCCCCAAGTGACAGGGGGTTACAAGTGATCCACCCCCAAAGGAATTTCTATGGGGGTACTAGAGAGTTGCCATTTGACAAAGAAGACTAGGGGAAAACACTGTGAATTCCACTTTTTAAAAACACTTAATGCAAAGAAATAACATTGCCAGAATAATAGCTATCAGTGATAACATTAATGCTGGATAAGGTACAGAAATTTAATGATAAATCCAGACCAAGGAGGATGGGGGCAATCTGCAGAAAATAAAGATGTTTTGACAACTTTTATAACTTGTAAATTATTTCCCAAAAAATCTATTCTGCAAATTTCTCTCCTTGAAGTGGCGCAAAATTATACTGAATGTGACTGGATAGTGAACATGATCTTTAAGAGCAACGCTGTAATTCAGTAAACCTGTTACCATCCAGCATTATCAGGGAGTGGGATATCTTGGCTAATCAAGTATCATCTGTATCTTAGACAGATGTCTGATTGTTCAAATAAACCTGATTTTTAAATAGTCAAGCTCAATGTACTCTTCCACAAATGATCAGAACTCTACTCTGGGGCATCTTCACGGAACAGGAATTAGCATCCTAATGTACAGACAACCAAAGAGACTGGCATAGGGAGTTCCCGCTGGATAACAAAGTTTCCTCTTCAAAGTATCCATTAGATAATAACCACCTACTTTTTCAACAGTTGGTCGGTCGTCATACTTTGATTCCGTAGGTGGGCCACCACTGTAAGCCAGGCTATGCCTGTCTTTAGTACTAATTCCACTCACCTAAACCTAAAGCAAACTGATTAAGCCATCCTGAGTAAGTCTGCTGTTGCATGCTTGATGAAAATAATTTTGTTTACCACAATTATGTGGATGTCTACATGCATCGCATAATTAGCACCGTAACAACAGGGAAATATCAGTTTTGTGCCTCCGCCCCCACGTTTGTTGACTTACTGTGCATAATAACTGGTGTTGAGACTATAACAGGATCTGAGAATAGAGCTCTCAGTATCTGAAACATTTTCTAGGTGAGGAGTTTGTCTCTACCGGCAACTGTCAGGGCAGTACTCACTTCTATTGGCAAAAGCTCATGGTTTGGAAGGAAAAAAAAAATAGCTGGAGGCAGGAGATACTTTTAGATAGGGGTTACTTTTAGAGAATGAAATTGGTAATGGGGCACCTAGATGGCACAGTCTCTTGAGCATCCAACTTAGTTTTGGCTCAGGTTGTGGGTTGTGATCTCAGGGTCATGAGATCGGGCCCCACGTCAAGCTCCGTGCTCAGGGCAGAGCCTGCTTGAGATTCTCTCTCCTTCCTCTACCCTTTCCTCTCCCCATGCTCGCTCTCTCTCTCTCTCTCTCTCTAAAATAAATAAACCTTAAAAAAAAGAAAAAGAAAAAATGAAATCAGGAATATAAAAACAGGAACTTCTATTTTCCAATTTATAATCAATCAATTATTTGATTTATAATCAAATAATTTTTTAAACTGTGAGGAAAAGCAGACTGACCCTGAGCCCTGATACTAACATAACATATTTGGGTAAGAGCTCAGAATGACATTTTGGCACCAACAGCCCCACTCTCATGCCTTCAAATCAAGTACGATCCATCTAAGAGACTCTATTGTGTTTCCATTATGACCAAGCATGCCCTGATCCTTAGGTCTAGGTGCTTTGTCTTGAAACTGTCAGGCAAGGATTGGAAGGCATGCCCAGAACATAATGATGTGGTGAAAGGGTAACCGTTTTTCTAGAACAGAAACAGCAGAGTATTGATGCATAATACATATATCAACATGCCCCGATGGAGGAGTCCACAGCACAATCAAGACAACTATCAGAGGAACTGAGGATTATTGTGAACGAAAATAAAACATACCAAAACCAATTACCCAGAAAAATAGATTTAAAAAAATATTCTTTCACTTTCCCATAAATGAGGTAATAAAACCGGGCGGGATCCATTCTTACCAGTATTCCTTTTAGCTCATTCACGGCACTCTCAGAGCTCTTTGAAGATTCCGGCTACAATTTTAAAAAGAAAGCACAATTAATAATTCAGTTTTAAAATACTAAACAGACATTTCTACCTGGCAAAGTGTTGGCACTATTATGGACTATTTTTTTTTTTTTAAATTAGGTCTATGTCTTACAGTTAGGAGAGAATTAGACAGGTTAGTGCTCCCAAGTGGCGGCTAGATAGAAAATTAGGAGAAGTAGTCAAAGCCAAAGGACTCAAGCTTCTTCTAAATGCCATTTTGTTACTTCTTGTTATCATCATATGGAGAAAAGATCTGGTCAACTCCCGGTTTCAAAGATTCACTTGGATTGTTCGGAACGTTCTGCGGTAAGCTGGTCCCCACTCGCGTTGCTGGACCCCTGCCAGTGAGCGAGGACCAGGAAGGCGGCAAGCGCAGGGCAGGCAGCAAGCAACGGGGCAGAAACCTCTCTCGGCTCCGGCTTGCAGGGGACCGGCACGTCTCGGTTCAGGAATTTCAAAACTGAGTCAGGAGCGGGGGTCAGCAAAGAACCTGGCCTTACACGAGAATGTTAGCATCACTGGCGACTGAAGCAGGAAGGGCGGCCCAGAGGGCGTAGAGTCTGCCCCCATCGTCCTCCTCGTAAGGAAAGGTCACCCCAAGAAAGGCTGTGTTTGAGTCTTGATCACAAGCCCCGTTGCAACCGGGCTTCTGGCTATGCCGTGAACAAAATAATTTGAAATGCAGTTCTGGGCAATGTTCGCCTACCCCGCAAGGCCTAAGAGTCTCTGGGGATCCCCCGACAACTAACTTCTTGGAGGGGAAATCTAGCACGAGGTTCTCAAAGACAGGCCTCTGGTCTCCCCCATACCACTTCCTTTCACAAAGGACGGGGAGGAAGAGAGATCCTTTAGGGAACCCCCTGGCCTCTCGTTCCTGGAAAAGAGGTAAAGCTCATTTCTCTCCAATCGAGAGATGGGAAGTGATTAGTAGTGACCTCTAACCCTTTCCTCACAAGAGCTAATAAAAGAATAAGATCCCATTTCAGTTTTTTTTTTTTTTAAATGGACAGTGAGAGAAAGAGGGAGAGAGAAGGAGCAAGAGAGGGAGGGAGGCGGAGAGAGAGAGAGAAAGAGGGAGGGAGGGAGGCAGAGGGAGAGGGGGAGAGGTTTGCTGCTCATGTATGAATTGGACTAAGACATCCAACTTTCATAGCCTACGCTTTCGGGAAAATACACGTGCCATGAGCGCCAGTCCGAGGGGCCAAAGCTCTAAGACACTAATTATAACCACAACAGTATCGACAACGACATCAAGGAATTTAGAAGGTATGTGGTTAAATTAGTATTCTCAAGGCAGGTGTGACCTGTGCAGGTACACTGTTCGGGGGACAAGCTGTGACGTGTGAACAAGCGCCCTCGGCTACAGGCCACTCAATGCTGCCATTGCCACCCCAGCCACCTTCGGGCCCCAGGAGCCACCAGCAGCACGGCCCACGCGCTCTCGCAGCCCATGACCTTGGCAGGTAAGCACTGAGTCCTGGGCGGGGAGTCTGTAGCGCATGCAGTGAGCACTTGTTTCAAAGGTTACTGACCAGGTCATTCAGCACTATCTGTACACAGTTTAATGATTACCAGCGAAAGACCCAGTCGTCCACTGATGCTTGTTCAGTTGCTCTCCAGTTCTGAACTGACATTAAATAATGTGTAACTGTTGGAAGAATCATGGCAAGAAAGAAGAAGGACAAAGTGATACTCTGAAAGTGAAAGTACGCACAGAACATCCTGATCCAATTGCTTAGGATGTAACAAGTTTTCGACATTTTTCTCTCTAAACTAATTTTGCTTCTTCATGACACTGCATTTTTCTCTAGTCTGTCTGGTTTGGTTTATTCCTTCCAAAACAGTTGGGACATGAACATCTTAAAAATGTATTTGTTTCAAAGATTCCACTTAGATCCCCCGTTTTTACACTACCTTCCATCTGAGCCTGTCAACGACCCTGTGAGTTGGAGAGGGTGGGCCCTCTGACCATTCTGGGGAGAGAAGAGCCTGGAGGTGGGGGCGGGGACAGCGCCTGGTCCCAACGCCAGCTACTATGAGCTTCATGCGCCAGACACCAGTGCTCAACACTCGTGCCAAACTGTCTATGCTCTGTCCCTTACCTGCAAAACTGCTCTCAAAGCGCTAATGCAGACCAGTACTCCATGCAGCTGGCTACAGCTTCCATTCCACTGTCAGCCTACTCTTGGAATTGGGTATTCTTTCCCTCTTTTCAACCCCCTTTCCATGGACAGCCCCCACCACAACTCCTGCCTCACCTGGCTACCTTGCCTGCCTGCCTGTGACCACATGACAACTCTTAAAGTCCAGCAGAGTTTGTACTGAATAGTCATGATACTAGGGGTCACTGAAGCAGCTGAAGAGGAGCATCCATGAAAGTAAGAAAGAATCTTAAAGGTTGGTTTAAAAGAGGAAGGAAGAGGACCAATCTGTTGATGCTTTAAATTTTTGTTTATTAAACGAACAACTTCTCAAGACAAATATCAAAAACTCTATTGTTGGTCTATTTCAACGGGACACACCTACAAGAGAAGGGAGAGGCCCTGGACTAGAGCTAGGTGCTTTGCTAGAGCTTGGCGCTCACTGTGGTCTAGTTCGGAAGGCAGCTGGTGATACATACACACAAAACTTTCTCCTTGAAGTGGCCTGGAACAGGTTTGTAAAATAAATGAAAACAGTCCTATGAGCTTCACTAATTTTCAAAAACTGTTGTAAGTCCATTCTGACACTATCATATGATGCCACCTGCCTACCCGGCCCCTTTCCGCCTCACACTGAAACAGAAGTCTCAGGAAGGCAAGGATTGCTGTCTCTTTGGTTTACTGCTTTATCCCCAGAGCCTAAAACAGTACCTGGCATATGGCAGATGCTCATTCAATACTTGAGTTACACAAAAGGACTTAAAGAAAAGAAAGGGTACAGTAGTTCTTGGCTTGGTCTAACAGTCCGTACGTATCAAGCAGAGAAGAGCACCCTGCAACAACAGGACTTTCTTTTTGTAGGGACTGAGGTTAACTGCAGCTCAAACAGAGTCCTGAAACACGCTCGTCTAAAAGTAAAGGCTTTTATGACACATTAGCCTTATCTAAGATTTCACAGTCAGTCCTCATATAGCTTTCATCAAATTTCAAACTTTGACACCTGAAAAAGGAAGCACCGCGGGAGGGGAGGAAATGCAGTCATTTCATACCTTTGCCTTCGGTCTAGCCGTCTGATTAACTGGTCTAAGATGAACTCCCTTTTTAATTCTGTCCATCATCTCTTCAACTGCTTGCCTCTTCAGATCCGTGACTTCTTCAGCTATCAAAGAACACACGCAGAAATCATCTTATGTTACAAGAAAACTGCTACTTTCTATTCCAATGTACTTTGTAATTAACCACAGCCGCTTTTCAGACAGAATCACAAAACATCACAAAACAATTTACTGAGGTTAACAGCTACCAGGCAGCCATATTTTTTTCATTTAAAAAAAAAATCTTTTAATAGAAGATTTGTTTTTAAAAAAATTAGAGTTAAAAAAAATTAGAGTTATGGGGGGCCTGGGTGGCTCAGTTAAGTGTCGGCCTCTTGATCTCAGTTCGGGTCTTGAGTTCAAACCCCACCTTGGGCTCCACTTAAAATAAAATAAAATAAAATAAAATAAAATAAAATAAAATAAAACTCAGAGTTATAAAATTTAAGGTCTAATTTGTAGCCTGGAAATCAATATTGGCTTATTAATCAATTAATTTAAACAATTAAAGTGGGTCTGGTTCCATTTGTTAGCATGATAGAACTTGAATTTCTCCAGCTTTCTACCTAAGCTCAAATAATCATTCACCTTTGCCTCAGAGATGTTTTCATAACTTATAACATCCCATGTCAAAGAAATCAGCCCCAAGAAGGAATAGCTATCAAAAAGCCCATTTGGAAATAAAAGATAAAAGCCATCTGTTAACTTGTAAGAAATCTATAATCAGAAGATGAACACCAGATAGGTAAAATCTACTTTTAAATTGCCATCTTTTATTTAGGAATCAAAGAAGCATTTTAAACAAACCTTTTCAAGTCTTTTTAAATTGTCAATGTTAAAAGAAAACATACACCCAGAAAGGATTGCAATTAAGTAATTAAATTTGATTAAAAATTTTTTGAACTATCTATTGTTTAACCTTTGCACTGTTTTGCTGCAAAAAAAAACAATAAAACTGTTGAAATATACATCAATTAGATGAATACAGCTAAGGTGGAGGCTTAAAGCTATTGGTCAGAATAATGAAATTTGTTGCACAATAGCCTGACCAAAAGTACTCAATTGTTTTTGCAACATTTATCACCATTAGTGCCATTCTAGATCTCCTGCTTACATCCGTCTCATTCCCTGGAACTGATTAATTTAAGTTTAAATACCTCATGAAGACCTTCCTCTTAGGCTCTTTGAGCACACTCTACAACGTGGGGCATATGGTAGGCACGCAGCAAGTAACCACCCACTGACGGACTTATTGGAAGTTTTGGCTTTATGTGACTATTAATATTTTTGATATTTGAGCAGAAACAGCTAAAGCTCAAAAGGACAGCTTCTAAATGGAGGCCATCACGACGATGCCCCCAGGCCAATGGACAGGCGTGCTGGGCTCTGCACTAATGAAGCCTACACCGTGGCTTTTTTTTTTTCTGCCACGTGGAATTCACGCTAACGCTGAGTAGCTATTCCTCTTACGTCATGCCTAGGGGAGCAACTAGAAGAACCCAGAAGGTTCCACCATTCTCAGTGAGGCAGCACCACAGTGATGAGATCACCTCTACATTCCCTGTACAACCTACGTCTTCTGATAAAGTCCTAATTTCAAACAGGGTCATGTCATCTTCATAGGCCACTGAAACGCAGGGAATAAAAAGTTCTCAATATCCAAACCGTATGTTTCAGATCCAGATGGCAAGAAAGCATCTTTTGCCAGGCAACGTGGAAAACATGGCACCAGAGTCAGAACTCACCCACTAGTAAATGAAAGAACGCAAACTGTGGGTGGATCAACTCTGCCCTTAAGCAGCATTTTCTCGGGCAGCTTCCGCAGATGGCTCCCAAACATCAACAAGAGGACAGACAAGAAAATTACTGTGGATTGAAAGTCATTCATTCATTCATTCACTCACTCACTCATTCAATATCTGAATACCCGTTATGTACTACATGGTGCTTGTGCTGACCCCATTCAGAGTCTGGGGAGATAAAGCACAGATCTGCCATTTGAGCACCTGGTAAGGGTATGCAATCTATTCCTGAGAATTTTTTTTTTTTTAATCCTAAAAAAACATGTGATTTTTCAGAAAGCCTGCCATTTTGAGTGAGACTTGAGAAGAGCTGCATGGCAACAGAACACCGCCGACAAACAGATTAGTGCTCTGTAAGGAAGGACTGAAACCCAATTAAATGCACCATACAAAAACTAATTAAGGCAGACAGATGGAGAATTATGGTCGACACCATTCAAATCTGCTGCAGCATCTAACATAACAGGAATTTAAAGTAGTTTCTTATTTTTGCTTGCCAGAATCATAGTGATAATTCAGAGAAGTGCTACTATCTGTATTGTGTACAGATTATAAACCAGGCTTTAATTTCTTAGTCTTTTTCAAATGTAAAGGCTTAATTGGTCTTAAGGAAAAGAAATCACTCTTATCAGATTCCCTATGCGGGCACAATACAAGGGCAACGCTAGGTTAAGCTACACAAGCCTTCTCTCTCACCGACCCTGTTTTTGAACTAGCAAAAAGCAATCTATACGAACTTCCAAACTATTAAGCAGTTCTAATAAATCTGCAAGAATCACCTACAGAGAGTTCATGGCATGTTTTGTAATTCTTTCTGTGATCACACAGTTGGTAATTGTCTCACAAAAGCATGTAATCAGAAGGACAATGGAAATGTGCAGGATACTGGAGATTAAAAAAAGGGACAAATGGAGACAACAGGTCTAATGTCACTGAACTGCCACAGGAAAATCAAATCAAATGTTCTCTGAGGTAGTGCTTCAAGGTCAGTCTTGGATCAGAAAGCTACATGTAATTAATTGAGACTTAAATTTTAAGACCCACTTGAAAAATAAGTTCGTTCTTCAAAGAAAAAACCCACAGACAAAACCATCACCTTGTTGCTCAGTAAAACCTTTTGTTATTACCTAGAAGAAATGAAAATTATTTTCTAAATTCCACAGGATTACTTTTCTCTTTCACTAACATTTTTAAAAAGGCACTTAAAAAGAATCTTATGGCACTGTGATGAACAAAATTTCTGAAGAACACATCGTGGTTGAGTAAGTTTGAATTTGACCTCAGGCCATAAAGTTAAGGATATTTCCTTAACTACAACGATCACAAGAACCTGCCAAATGAGGATTTCTACCCTTCAAAGAGTGGTTGGAACCCTTTTGCTTTTAATAGCTAACATTTTGGTATTTTCTATATGCTGGGTACTATTCTAAGTACTTTACTTGTTAGGAGACTCATTAATTCTCACCACCACCCTATGAAACAAGAACTATGATTATCCCCACTCAGCAGGTTAGCAAACTAAGGTAAGAAAATGTTAACATAATAATGACCTAGGTATTTGATAAATACCAAGCATATCTCTGAAACCTCAGAACTTGTTCAATAAATTTATTCTTCTCAAAATTAGTTATTAATTCAAAGTCTGTAGATTATTTCTTACATTGACACCGTAAAACTACTTCTAAAATATTGCACAGAGGGCAGCCTGGTGGCTCGGCGGTTTGGTGCGGCCTTCGGCCCAGGGCCTGATCCTGGAGTCCAGGGATTGAGTCCCACTTTGGGCTCCCTGCGTGAAGCCTGCTTCTCCTCTGCCTGTGTCTCTGCCTCTCTCTCTCTCTCTCTCTCTCTCTCTCTCTCTGTGTGTGTGTGTGTGTGTCTCTCATGAATAAATAAACTCTTAAAAAATAAATAAATAAATAAATAAATAAATAAATAAATAAATAAATAAATAAAATATTGCGCAGACCTTCCCCTACAATTAGACTTTTTAAGAGCCATACCCTAGCAATAAAAGTTTCTTCATTCATCAGGTCTGAGAAGCCTACCAATCAGCTGATGAGAGCCATCATAAGATGCTAACAAAAGATAATACTGTGATAGCAAAACCGGTCCTGACTTACAAATATAAACTCCAAAGTGTCACAGATGACTACAATGCTTGATGTTCTTCATTCATTCATCATGCTTTTAATCATTGTTGATTTATTCATTCAAAAACTATTTTTGGTGTGAACTGTTAATAAGACACTATAAAAAACTACCCTGCCAGACACGGAAAAGCTCCAACCATGTACGTCTATGGTTCACATCATTTAAGGCAGTGGCTTCAGTTTAAAATCTCATGAGTGACTTCTAATTCTACTTAGACACACATCCCTGGTAACAATCCAGTAGCTCAAGAATGAGGGAGAGAATACTGCATCATTTCATGAATTGTAAATGAAAGATCACTTTCATAAGGAAAACTGTATGGTTTCCAACACCGGGTTTAATAAGCTTAGAATGCTTTTTTTTTTTTTTTAATTTAAGGGTGTTATCAAGGTTGACAAGCTAATAATGTCATTTACTTAGACATTAGTAAAAGGGAAATTTACTTAGACATTAGAAGGGGAAATCATTTTATTCTGACTGCCCTTCTCATCCTCTACGTCTTATCGATTGTTACAAAACAAGATTGAAACAAACAAAATTTTAATTTTAATTAGAGTGTCAAGAAGGCTTCTAGACAGTAACACAGAGCAGGACTGCCCTGAAATGACCAAAGACAGGACTTCAGAATCCCCAGTGCCTTGTGGCAAGCAGAATGTCCTTTTCAGCAATACAATGAGAGGAATAGTTTCCAAAGGGTTGTAGGAGGCAGGCACCAAAAGTAATTTATATAGACAAAATCAATTAGCTTTTATCTATAATGGTGCTGCGAGTTTCTGGCTAAGAAAGATGGAGCTAGGTCTCAACTTAGATTCACTGAAGGTGCCTCCAAGCTGTGGGAGACTTGCAGACAGGAGTAAGCCCTCAAAGTCTGCAACCGATTCAGGGGGAGAGATGTGGAAATAACCTCAAACAGGACAGAGAGGCTAGGAGATGGGGCATCATAAAATCTGAAGCACAATGCTACAGCAACACGCAGCAATGAGCCAATACTAAGGAGCTCATAAGAGGAAGTGGAGGAAGAGCCTGGAACCTACACAGGAGATGTGGAATTAGAGCACCCTGCCCCAGAAAGCTCTGACTATATATAGGGAAGGCGGCAGAGCAATTCTGGAATTAGGATAAGACAGAGCATGTGCACGGGGGACTTCTAGGAAATGGTCCAGCCATAAGGTAGAGCAGGTGTACAGAAATGAGGCTGAAATAACAGCAGAGAACCACCCAAAAGCAGCCTGCAGGGTTTGGATTCTGTTCTGATACAGCTAGAGTAAAGTGGCCGGACCAGATTGATGAACCCTGGGGGCAGGAAGAGGAGGCCAAGACGTCTGCCCCAGAACATCTGCCCCAGACTGGGCTTGAACCAGGCAAATGTGCCATGCTTTGTAAGTAACAGGTGCTGAGCAAACATGCTGAGTTCAATGTGGGTTCTTCTGGTCCCTGTTGCCCTGGCTGTGGCTGCACACCCAACTGCCCGCAGCTCCACGAGCCGCCCAGGCTCCTGCCTGCTGGGTGCCTCTGCTCAGTGGGAAAACCCTTCTCCCTTCACTCCCATCTCTTCAAGTTACCCTCTACTTCTCCCTCTCCAGCGAGTCAGACTCCCATGAACGGCACCTCCCAGAGTTGCTCCTGGATTTACCCACTTCTTTCTGTCTCCACTACCACCCTCGTCTGAGCCATGTGCATCTGAATGACAGACAGCCTCCCCTCATCCTCTCATTCTTCTGCAATCTATGCCCTGTCCTCTTGCTGCAAACAAGATTTCTGCTGATTTCTTTAAAAAGACAAATCTCACCATGCCACACCCCTACTTAAAACTTCTACTGTCCTTAAGATACATTTCAAAATCTTGACCACAGCCTCCAGAACCTGGCTCAGACTTCCTCTCTTGCACCGCATGTTCCTGTAATACCAAACTTTAGTTTCCCAATATGCCAAGCTCCTTCCCCATTCTGGACCTTTGATTCTGTTGCCCCTCTGTAAACTCCTTTCGTTCTCAACACTCCCAATCCAACTTCCTAAATCCATACTACTTGGCTTTAGCATCGCTTCCTGACACCAGCATCCACCTCCATCCTCTCTTACAAACGTGTGCTCTTCCTTTAGGTAATATCCTTGTTTGCTTCCTGTCTCCCCCAACTCAACGTAACTTCTATGTCATCTGTCACCAGTTTACAGCATGAGACCAGCACAAAGCAAGTGCTTCATCAAGTCTCAGTTTACTGGCTATCAACTCTAAAAACTCTTTCCCCAAACCCCTTACCTAGAATTGCTCCCTCCCTTTCTTTTATACCTCCTCCTGTAAAGTGCCTCATCCTCTAAGAAGACACATCCCCGCAGACCACACATTACAGTTGGCCTGCTGTAGACAAGAAGCAACAGGAAGGCTCACTCGTGTTCCTTCTTATCAGCTGTTAAGTTCACATTTCTCCCCAATTTGTTCACAAAGAACTCAAAAAAATGTACTGTTGAAAAACTGTGCTGAAACCACTGAAAGTAAACCAAAGGGGATGATAATTACTTGTTTCTGGTTGAGCTGCCTTTTCTTTCTTAGCACCACTGCCGCTGGGATGGGATCGCTTCCGGATCATGGACATGAGGGATCTTTAGGAGAAAGAAAAAGAATGACAGGAAATTACTGGATGCCTGACAATCCAAGAAATAAAATGTACTGGTTCAAAATAATCAGTAAATATACAGTTCTTCTCTAGGTGCATAAATGGATAGCTAGAATTTAGGAGTCTACTTTCTACTTTTAAAAAATTATTAAACTTTTCAACACTTTAAAGAAGAGAAAGAGGTCTCATCCTTTTCTACATAAAACCAAATTCATTACTCAAAGAAGGGGGCCACTATAATTACCAATACAGTGCTAAGTAAAACAGAAAAATAAGTCAATATTCATACCTAAAATTCAGACAAAACTATCTATGTAATATGCTTGAGGAAGAGGGAAGGATGAAAGAATTAGGGGATGTTTTTGGTAAATAACTATCTGTGAAATACGGGCATAAAAATATCTGAATCTGAATGACACAGACCAGATACTTAAGGGATAAAATACATTTAGACCACAGTCTCTCTGGTCCATGTTTTAAAAATCTGTAAAATCCAAATTGTGATAGATTTGACTACAGGAAAATTTTATGGCCTGCACATATTAAAAGACACCATAAAGAATAAAAAGAGGGGTGCCTAGTGGGCTCATGTGAAAGAAGTTGGAAGAGCATGTGACTCTCGATCTTGGGGTCATGAGTTCAAGCCCCATGTTGTATGTAGAGATTACTTAAATAAATAAACTTTTTAAAAAAGAAGAAGAAGAAAAAGAAACTCTACAGATCAATAAGAAAAAGCTTACAACCCAACAGGAAAATGGACAAAAGCCTTGAAACTCCATAAAAGAGGACGTCCAATTTTCCAAAACAAAGTGCTTGACTTCATTAGCTACTAGGAAAACACAAATGAAACCCACACTGTGATATTACTACACAGTCATCAAACAGAAAAGAAATTTTAAGTCTGATAATATCAAATATCGGTAGGTTTGTGGAATAACAGGAATTCTCAAACTGAAGATTGTGTAGGAAATAAAATTGCCGCTTTGGAAAACCATTTGGCAGTATCCAGGGGAGCTGAAGACACACATATCCTAGGAGCCAGGGATTCCATTTCTGTATACCTTATAGAAATGCAGGCACTTGTGCACCAGGATTCATTTACAAGAATGCTCATGCAGAATTTCCATAACTTCCCTGAACTGGTAATAACTTAAATGTAGATGTACCATAATGGATAAACACACTTTCAGACATTCATAAAATGGATTATGTACCCATGAATATGGATGAACTTTAGCTACACAACATAACATGGATGAATCTTACAAAATAATGTAGAGTAAAAAGAACAAGACCCAAATGAATACAGTAAAATTCCAATTATATAGTTAGAAAAAACCCACATATATATTTATAGGAGTTTAGGGATATATATGTCAGGCAAAAATTTTTTTCTTTAAAAAAAGGATAAAAGGACAAGATTTTAGGCTACCAGTATTTTTCTATTTCTTGATTTGGACAGTGAACACATAATGTTCACTTTATATTACTTTTAAACTGTATATAAGTTGGTGTATGCTCTTATATATGTTATCAGTCCCCCTCAATAAAGCTTACAAAAAGAAAAAAAAAAGAACCAAGAATTCCTGAATTCTTTCAACTACATTATAAATGTTCTCGGTGTGGTAAACTGGATTTGACCAAATACAGTCAGTCCTGAGGAAGCCAAGCAGGCAAAGCTTAATGCTGACTCTAGAAAAAGGGGCACCTGGATTCAAACAGCAATATCTGGCTGAGTAGAGAACAACTCAGTGTTTCTTAATTTTTTACCTCCTACTTCTGCCTTTAGATTATTAATCCCCTCTTTACCTGCCTTTTCTTAAAATTCCCAAACACACTGAACAAGAAAGCACTACATTCTGCTCTACCCTGTGAGATTTCTAGAACTTACCGACAAGCACATTTTATTCCAGAAGCTGGGAGAAATGAAACAATGCAAACTTTATTTGCTCCTTCTCCCCATTCTGTCACTGAGGGCAGGACTAGTCAAGGTCTACAGGTTAACATTCCCCAGTAGGTAGGATGGCGCTGCCCAGTCGAGGGCCTCATCTTACCCTCTCACAACACTTTGCAGGTGAACCCACCACAGATTCTAAAATGTTCAGTGCTGTACTATCATACGTAAAGATGACAAAGCAGGAATATTTGTACTGCTCGGAATATCTGAATATGTTTACATAAATAAAGTCAAAAATCTACATTCATCACTAAAACCACCTAAATAGATGAGAGAAAGTGCTTTCACTGTTCAGAACTGAGGTGTAAGTTGGAAACCCAGATGGTGCCCAGAGAAAAATCATCTGTAATATTTTTAAAAAGAGTCCTCTGTGACTACAGATAGAGCAGGTCTCACAGGACAGATCAGAAGACCAGGATGAGATACCTGGGACCCATAATTCAACCTCTGGCTAAAACTGCCCCACTTCAGAGCCAGTTCAGCTGAATGGATAAAAGCTTCAGGCAAGAGTCCCCAGAAATGGAACAGTTTGGTGGAAAATATTTACCTTGAAATTCTTTAATAAGTGTTCCTCACACCCACTGTGATGGTTAAAGTTATGAGTCAGCCTGACTGGATCATGGGATATTCAGGTATGTGGCCCAACACTATTCTGGGTGTTGCTGTGCGAGTTCTGGATAAGATCAACATTTAAATTGCTAGCCCAGGGCAGCCCAGGTGGATCAGCGGTTTAGCACCGCCTTCAGCCCAGGGTGTGATCCTGGAGACACGAGATCAAGTCCCGCATCGGGCTCCCTGCATGGAGTCTGCTTCTCCCTCTGCCTGTGTCTCTGCCTCTCTCTCTCTCTCTTTCTGTGTCTCTCATGAATAAATAAATAAAATATTTTTATAAATAAATAAATAGCCCATGTAAAGCAGACTATTCTAATGTGGGTGGGCCTCATACAATCAGCTGAAGGCCTGAATAAAACAAAAGCATGACCCTTCCCCAAGTAAAACAGAATTCCCTCTGCCTGACTAGCTTAAAATCAGGACATCTGCTTTTCCCTGCTTCTGGATTTGAAACACTACCTCTTCCTGGGTCTGGACTGCTCAAGTGCAGACTGAGACCATACCATAGGCTTTCCCTGGGCTCCAGCTTTTTGACTCACCCTGGGACTTGCCATAGTCCATAACCCTGTGAACTTATTCCTTAGAATAAACCTTGTATGTGAATGCACACAATATATACATAACTATGTATATATGTACATACACACACCCCTACTACTTCCGTGTCTCTGGAGAACCCTAATATACCAATACACCCTACCACCCCCTCGTGAGCCACACCTGCCCAGGATTTATCCGGTGTTCGCTATGGCTGGTACAACATGACCAAGGTCTACCTTCTTCCTCCAACTCCTCTCTCCCACTTGTCCCCTGGGGCAAAAGAGCAGGTACTAGTCTTTTTTTTTTTTTCTTCCGGTTTTCATTTCTATCTATGATCTATGTTAGTGCAAAACAAATGTGGCTCAGGACCAAAGTTAGAAAATCTTGATTAGTGGATTCAGAGTCCACTGAAACTCAATAGATATGCAAATGTATTTCTTTGACAAGAAAGTACTCCTAACTCCAAAAGGAAAAAAAGAAAAGAAAAAGAAATCTCTTTCTGAGAAATTACATCTTATACTACTTAAATTCATCTTAAAATAAAAATTGTTCATGTTATTCAACGAAAATTTCTTCAAAGGGCCTTATAAAAGAGTTCATGCTTTAGATATACACAGTCTGAATCCCACATTCATTTCTCAGTAAAACTATAAAGTGCTCTTTGGGAAAATATCCTATTTAAGTTACACTTTACTTTTAATTCCAAGGGTTTCCAGGCTTGTGAGACTAAAAATTAAAAGCCAACGGCAAGACTATAATCGCATTTTTAATAGCTCTCCCTCCTCATACACAGTAGTGACCTTTATTATCAGCACAAAATTCTACACCTTAGAAAAAGAGCTAAGTGATGAATTTCTTGTTTTAAATGTCACATTCAGAATATCTCCAATGGATTTAGCTACCCAGGACAGAAAGAATTTAAAATACCTGAAAATTCTTTCAATGGACTCTTCCATCAATCACGTGTAAAAATTATTTTGCCTCAACTACTTCAATGGCTTAAAGTAGATTATGTCCTACCCTCCTCAGTAAGAAAAACTAATGAGAATCCTTTTTAAAAGGCAAAGTCCCATTTTCATAGTCATGTGGGAGGAACATGCTACACATTCTATTCACATGCATCGGCAAAGGTGCAAAGTACGAATAAATGGCCCTGTGTGAAAGGATTAAACAAATTGCATGAGTTAATGAAAGGTAAAAAAATCAAATAAAAATCTAGCCAAATGTTAAAGTCCATTTGTTCAAGAATAAATTATACAGACGCAGCTAACATCAGGACACAAGGAGGTAAGTTGTCACAGTGGCAAGCAGGTTGTGTCTTCTGTAATTCTGGATGGTGGAATGAAGAACCACAAAGGAGGCAAATCTTGCCTCTAGGCTTCCTGGGGTGTACTGTGCTTGATTCAGGCACTCAAAACCACCGAGTCACCCCAGGCTTCAGAAAAAGTGAATTCTTATCTGCATATATGATTCCCTGTCACAAGAACGTAAACATAATTTCTTCTTCTTATAGAAGATTCTTCTCTCAGCATTATTAAAGGTTTAAATATAAGGTTAGGGATAAAACGTAATTAGCACTTTGAGTTTAATTATTAGTGTGTAACAATTAGTACTGGTAAGTTTTTGTTTCGTTTAGTACTTTTATTTTTAAAGTAAATGAACAAACCAAGGCTTTTCAAATTCAAATTAGGGCAAGGAAAGATAAAAACAATTAAAACATCCTGGAAAAGTTCAAAATTCCTTGGTCTTCCAGTTAAAGGAAATCCTAACATCATGGGCTGAAATCTTAATACTGAAGTATCTAACTTTTTAAACAAATCTCCAGCTCCTGGGTTTGGAACATCCACATGTAATCTGAACATCGGTAGCAGAAGGACATGGAAGGCTACAAGAATGTTTCTGCCAGGTGTTTCTTGGGCCTTTTCTATATGTATTACAAGAAGGAAGTGACACATTGGCCTTTGGAAAATTTTCTGAGAGGGATGCCTGGGTGGCTCAGGTGGTTGAGGGTCTACCTTCCGCTTAGGGTCATGGGATCGAGTCTCGCACTAGGCTCCTTGAAGGGAGCCTGCTTCTCCCTCTGCCTGTGTCTCTGCCTGTCTCTCACAAATTAATAAAATCTAAGAGAGAAAGAGAGAGAGGGGGGGGGGGAAGAGATAAAGAGAGAAAATACTTCTGGGAGAAATCCTGGCTGGTATGTTTCAGAGTTTTTCCGACCCCTCCTTCTAATGATGCAATCTAAGACAATAGTTTTGGTTCTGTTTTTTAAGAAGGGACACCTCTAGCATACACTTCCAGTTCTCTGACGGGGAAAGACATGATGCCGAGCAGCTTACCGGATAGGGTTGGGAGGAGGAGGGGGAAGCGGCGGTGGAGGAGGAGGTGGCGGAGGTACAGAGTTCTCAGACTGGTTCACCCGTTTCTGGAGTTCATCAACTGCACGGAGAGCAAGCATTCAGAAGAAGAGAGCTGAAACAAGCAACTTAGCACCTTTTACCCACACAAAGGAGAAAACATAACCTCTTTCAAAATCAAGTTCTTTGTATTAAGGCAAAGTTAGAAATCTCAGTATGAAACTGCAGAACGTCTTAACCTTTTCATCATCCGGCTGCTACCACTAATGCAAGGGAGGCCTTACACAGGTTACAAGAAAACATCACTGTCTTATTGCTCTATATACAACTGTGGAAAGAAAAAAAAAATCAGGACAATAGCTGGATGGGTGGAAAGCAGGGATCGAGTAGGCTGAAGAAGTATTTGTTAACAATGGCATGTATTACCCAGAACACTAAGAAATTGTGAATACTTGACTTTTAAAATGTATAGACCAGGAATTAATTTTAAAGATGACATTTAGTAATGAATCTTAATAACATAATTTCCTCCTCCACCTAATTTCCTTCAAAAATTGCAAATCCCAGAGTTCTTGATTTTAACCAGACTCGGACACTGTCACTTCAGAACCTTTTTGCTCTTTTGAAGGAGGATTCTGGAAATATAATTTATCCCCTCAATTTATTCACATCCTTAATGGAGCAGGTATTTTAGCCCAACAGTGTGAAAGGGTCCCTGCTCAAAGCTGTTCAAGATACAGTTTTGAGTTCAAGGAGCTCAACTTCAATCTATATCGCAGACACAAATACCTCTAAGACAGGTTCCAATAGGCTCTAGGTACTGAATACTGTTTGCACTCAGGAACGGCTGCCGCTGACCCCAGCCTTTCCTCTCTCCATGAGTAACTGCAACCCCAATGAGCTTGCCTGTTTGTTTCTACGCTCAACACTTTAAATAAGCAGTGTGGGCTATGCTCTCGGTCAGCCAAGAGTCCTCTAGTTATAAGTGTGTGTCGGTCTCTCCAAAGAGAGTGTGAGTTCCTCAAGGACAAAAGGCGTGGTTTCTTTCCTAGATTTCTTATAGTACCCTAGGGTAAGGCTGGCTATACACACAGCAGATACTAAATAAAACATACTCAAAACTGAATCTCAGGTTATCTCTAGTGTCTGCCCCTTCTATCAATAAAAAACATGGCTCTGGACATAGGCTACCTGGATAGTCACTTAAAAAGAATGGAATCTTAATTTTAGATCAATTTTTTAAGAAGTAAATTGCAATTCATTTTCATGGTTAGAAAGCATTGAATATTTTTTAAAGGGGAGAAAAGGCCTACCTGGTTCTTCTATACGGATTTCAAAATTCTAGTATAAAATTAACCAAAAATATCTCCAGTGAAGCTGTTATAAAAGGAACAACCTGCCTCCTTAAATCACCTACCTTCCAACAGAAACTTATTACTTATCCCTGTGTAATAATCCAATTCACACATTCCTGTCAAGCCTTCTGGAACTGAATGAATAAATCCTTTGATTTAAATATCCCCTGGTGTTTTAAAAGTTTTTCCACTTAATATACATATTGTTGCCCATTTTATTGTTAGGTGTGACACTGAAAGTATTAGTTCATGGGTATAATTAGACCACAAATGAGGGCTGTATGAACCTTAAAAGTTTAATTCTTTTAAAAAATGCTCCCTAAGGGACATCTGGGTGGTGCAGTCAAGTAAGCATCTGACTCCTGACTGGCTCAGGTCACGATCTCAGAGTGGTGAGACCGAGCCCCGAGTTGGGCTCTGTGCTGGGAATGGAGCTTGTTTGGGATTCTCTCTCTCCATCTCTCTCTCTCTCTCTAAAAAAAAGGAAAGGGCGGGGGGGAAGCACTCCCTAAAATGATCAAAATAAATACTCAATAAATACTTCTATCTGTCCCATCTGAAGCCCTGAGAAATGCCGAAATGTTGGTCAGATGAGCAGTATCTTTGTCTCTCCATTCTGCATGGGAGGCTTGCACATGCTCTCAGTCCACAGAGGTTTACATGCTTGTGAATCCCTGGAGTACAGTGGCCACTCTACTGAAGCGATCTTGATATTCCCCTATAGCATTCAGCCAAGCGTTCTGGACTAGCTATGGGCCGGGTTTTGTGCTGGGCACAGGGGACTCACAGACTACTCAGACACAGTGGCCCACTGGACACTTTTACCAGAATGCTTTAAATCTCTGGCTCTCTCTTCCGAATTCTGGTATTTCAATTCCAGTTCTCTTTTATCCTCTTCCAGAAGCCCCAGCTGCTGTTTGAGGCTGCGTATCTCTCTGTGGAGTGCTGCGTTTTCTAGCTGCTCTTCTAAGTCTTTCACCTGTAATTCATAAACAGACATTGACAGCTTTGCCTTTGTCAAGGAAAATTAAAGGGGGAAAGATCAGTTTCCCTTTACTTTTCAAGTCACAGCAAAGAGATTACCAATCCATCTTAAAAACCATGCAAATTCTGGAGTACAGGTGATAATTGAAAATGCCAGCTATTTAAACCAATATAAATTTATTGAAGACTAATGTCCCAGATAATTATGTGTTGAAACATGGGTCGAAAAGGTAAAATAATACCTAAGAGATTCATTTAAAACAGATTACTACCTCATACTCATTTTCAAGAGAAAATTCAGGTAGCATGAAAAAGAACCTTTAGGGGGATAATTCAGTAACAAGTATCAAAAACCTTAAAAAAGGAAAGAAAGCGAGAAAGCAAATGGAAAGACGGTTTGATTCAGCAACACTACTTTTAGAACTTGCTTTAAAGAAATAGTAAGGGGGCACCTGGGTGGCTCAGTTGGTCAAGCATCTGAGGATTCTTGATTTCAGCTCAGGTCATGACCTCAAGGTGGTGAGATCAAGCCCTGTATGGAATATGCTTAAGATTCTCTCCCTCTCCCTCTGTCCCACCCCCGCCACCCCACTCACAGGCTTTCTCTCTCTCAAAAAAAGAAATAGTAAGACAAGTATTTACATTATTCACCACAGTGTTCCTTGTAACAGGAAAGTATTGAAAATAAGTTAAATATCCACCAATATTATGGATTTAATAAATCATGGTATGTTCACTAACTAAAATACTATACAACCATTTAAAATCATATAGTTGGAGCACCTAGGTGGTGCAGCTGATTGATCATTCTACTCTTGGCTTCGGCTCAGGTCACGATCTCAGGTTGTGAGACTGAACCCTCATAGGGTTTCGTGTTGAGCATGGAGTCTGCTTGAGAGTCTCTCCCTCTGTCCCTCCACTTGCACTCTCTTTCTCTAAAATAAATATGTAAGTTTTTTAAAAAATAAAAATAAAATCACAAAGCTCACTATATGCTAACATGGGATGATATGTTACCAACTAAAAACAAATCAGGTTGAAGAACAGTATGCATGGTACATACATTCATAAAATTAACCATTTGTGTAAAGTTTGGATAGGTACCAAAATATGGAATTCTTGGGCAATCTTAATTTCTTCTTTAACTTGTACTGTATTTTCAACATCCATTTATGAGAAGAAACATATATTGTTTTTATCACCATAGAAACAACACAGTGTTTAAAAGACAGCTGGAGAATCTGCAGGGGAACTTACAGGCAGGTAAGAACCATTTAAACCACCACCACCCCCCCAGGAAAGATTACACAGTTCAGTCTAATAGTCTTAGAAGTACTGATGGGAACAATTTACAACTTTCAGCCAATCTTCAGCATCAGGTACTTGCTCCTCCTACCCCAACAAGGTACACAGCCAACGATGGAGCCCCATACTTCAGTTCAACTCAGGAGGTTCTAGACCTGTGTGGTTTACTAAACGGGTTAACTACTACTACTAAGGTTTTTCAGAACTGAAAAATCTTAGCATGAGCTACATAAAAATAAGTATTCCTCTATTCATTATTTGAAATGATAATCCCTGTTTGTGGGGCCAAGAAGGAAGGGAGGGAGGGAGGAAGGGAAGAAGGAAGAAAGGAAAGGAAGGGAAAGGATGGAGGGAAAGAAGGAAGGGAGGAAAGGAGGAAAGGGAGGGAGGAAAGAAGGAGGGGAGGGAAGGAGGAAGGAAAGAAGGAGGGAGGGAAAGAGGGACAGAAGAAGGAAAGAAAGGAAAGGAAGGGAAAGAAAGGAGAAGGAAGGAAGGAGGGAATAAGGGATGGGAGGAAGGAGAGGAGGGGAGGGAAGAAGGGAGGGAGGAAGGAAGATAGAAGGAAAGAGGGAAATCTCTCCTCCCTAGTCCTCTTTCCAGGGGCAATCACTGCTCCCAGCTACTCATCTGGAGGTCCTGTGCATACACCAACATTTCTTACTGAGGGGAAAATAAAAATCCGCTCTGCCTCAGGACCAACTTTGTAAAAACTTCAGAAACTTCCGAGGGTTAAATGTCAATATTATTGCTTAAAGAGACTTTGACAGGTGATAAATAGCAGCCAACAGCCTTTTCTTCACAAACGAGGTGTACTGTAAATAGTATAAATATTGATGTAATTTTTCTTAAGTGGTTTCCTTCACTTCAAAGCCTCTGTTCCACCTCTCTGCCTCCTCCCCTCCCGCCTCCTCTCTCACCTACCACAACAACTACCTTTTCTGCCTGGCACACAAAGGTGGGCTGTGTCAGCTGGAATAGTTCCACTCAAACAAAATAAAATAACCACTTAGGAAGTCTTTAAACATATACATTTGTGGAGGTTCACAAAATCAGAAATTTTTTCTAAGCAAGCAATTACCCCTAACGATGGACTTTTCCTCCCTCTTTTAATAACACTTGTGCCTTCTCGTAAGTTCTCGGAGACGAACGCAGTCTCCCTGTGTATGCAGTCCCCAATACACACTCGACTCACAGATGTCCCAATTGTGCATTCCGTGCACTATGCATGGTCTTTTTAAATTCTCTCTCTTTCCTTTGCTTCTTCAGACCTTTGGACAGGTTAAAGACCACAATGAAGTCCACATAGTGCACTATAAATTGGGCACTAAATTAAGTTCATTCGGTAGTTACTTTTTTCTAAAAAAGCAGAAAAACCAGAAAGATTTACTAAGACCAACGGGGGGGCTTTAAGTGACCAGACTTAGCCCTCTCCTGTCTGTGGCTGTTATTAAGACACCAGAAGAAAATCTGTTACCTTTTTCTGATGCTGAATTCTCTCTTCTTCAAGTTGCTGGATGAGTTTTGCATTTTCTTCCAAAGCTTTCAAAAGCTGCTGGTCAGGAGCAGAGCTCTGCAGCAGAAGGTGGCTTTGCCTCTTTAGCTTGTTCTGTTCAATGAACATCTGCAAGAGTTAATTACAGAAATGTACATGCCAATCAATCTCACGTATCTCCTCAACTGAAAGCAAAACAACAGGAAAGTACGTGGAATTTTTATTGAAAAGTTAAAGGCAATTTCTGAATTGTACAGTATTACATTTTTAGAAGTAATGATCGTTATGATTTCATACATAACTTTCATGCAATCTTCAAGGACCTTCCTCCTTGCCCCAATGAGGCATGTATGTAATAATTGTGTCCTATGCTTCAGTTTTTAAAGTTTTATTATTGTCTTAAAATACATTAATACTGGGGCACCTGGGTGACTCAGTGGTTGAGCGTCTGCCCTTGGCTAAGGTCATGATCCTGGAGTCCTGGGATCAAGTTCTGCATTGGGCTCCCCACATAAAGCCTCTTCTCCCTTTGCCTATGTCTCTGCCTCTCTCTGTGTCTCTCATGAGTAAATAAGTTAAAAATCTTAAAAAAAAAATCTCTTCCTTTAAAAAAAATACATTAATACTATGGTACAGGCTGGTATTGATACAGGCTGGTATTGACCAAGAACTTGTCTTACCTCAGGTATTCTGCTAAATATTTTATACTTATTATTTTAATCCTTACATGAGTCCTATGAATTAAACACTTGCGGTTTGAAGAGCTAACATTGACTAGCACTATGTGATAGACACGATGATGATTTTACATATAACACATCGTCTAATCCTTAGAATAACACTGTCAAGTAGATACTATTATTATCCCATTCTTACTAATAAGGTAAGTGAGGTTCAAAGGGATAAAGTGACTTTCCCAAAAACACATGGAGATAGCAAAACCAGGATCTAAACTGAGATCTGTCTGATTTAAAAGTCAAAGCTCTTAATCACCTGGCTAACCTCCTTCCTCTGGTATTTACAAACCTAATGTACTTTGTTTCATACCAATTAGCTTTTCCCCAGTGATGAAAGTAGTTAACAGTCAAGAGGGTAAAAAAGATGAGATACACTTATATTATTATTCATTTAGCCTTTACAAGCTCACATTTTTAATACATTATTTTCTATTAACCTGTTACTTCTTTTCCTTAATTACCCTATACCAGTTAGCCAGTAGATGATTCTACACATATTTTATAAACTCTGAAATAAGGCCCATATTTCATATTCTTCTTCCACCTGAGGCTTTCTGTGTAAGAAGGCTTGGGGGGAATGCGTGTGTGTGTGCACGCACAGGTGCTGAGCTCGAGGACAGTGAGACTGGGAGCATACACACTCCAGGGAAGAGTCATCCATATTTCATTCATATCTCATCTAGTATCTGATATCTGAAACCAATGGTATAATTGAAACAAGCGATTTCGATTTACTATTACTATTGCAGTCATCTTAAATACATCTTTCCCCTCCTACAATTTAACTTGGCTGGGGTCCCTTACCAGGGTCCTAGCCTCAACAAGCTAACAAGGAGGCCTGCAAATAGCAGCTGGACTCAGTGAGTCCTCTGGCTTCCCAGCGAGCGAGGCCTTTCCCCAAGAGTGCCCAGAGGCCAAGAGCAAGCCGAGGGGCAGCGTCGGTGTGGGCAACCAAGGCGGGGACGGTGAACTCAGCAGTCAAACAGTACTGGGCTCAGGCCATTGTCAGGGCACAACTGAGTCCCTCACTGCACTGCTTCTCTGAGCTCCGGTTTTCACTTGGAAAAAAGTGACAGTTCCTCTTCTCTATGCGCACTCAGGAAAACTTGTTCAACTTTACATGATTACAAACAATTTAACTTGGTTATTTTAGAAAGAAGAGAGTGATGATTATGTCTTGGGGATGTTAATAATATGAATTTCTTTCACAAAACCCTGTAACCATTCCTAAATAGTAAAAGATGAAAAGAGCATATAGGAAAGAAATTCCTTAGATAGCCATGGTAACTTGAAAAAAATACTCATTAGACTACCTTTTCTAGACCTTAATACATTCACATGAAATATTCTATATAACACCTTCTAAAGATGTGCTTAAAAAAATTTAGTTACCAAAGAGTAATGAATTTGGCTTTGAACTATGGTAAGAACCTGATATCTAGGGTTAGGGAGGTGGTCTCTTATCACACAAATGACATCATGAGTGTCAGAATTTCAGAGAGATTTCATAAATCTTTTCAAAGAATGAAAGCGAGAAAAAAACTTATGTCATTAATATAGAATTCATTCTTTCTGAAAGAATATTAAAATGTCATCTGCATTGTCTAGTGAAAATAGGACTTATTACAAAACAGTCTCACAGCATATCCACCCTACACATTTGAAGGAGGTATCCATGCTGTTGGAAGATCCATGAGGTATCCTCCAACCAAGAAAATTGCACATTTGGGAACTGTTTGTATTTTTTACAAGGTATACACACTCCTTTTATAATTAAAAATATAAAGTAATTTAAAATATTGAATTCTGGGATGCCTGGATGGCTCAGTGAGCATCTGCCTTCCATTCAGGGCATGATCCTAGGTCATGGGATTGAGTCCCTCACTGGGCTCCCCACAGGGAGCCTGCTTCTCCCTCTGCCTATGTCTCTGCCTCTCTCTCTCTCTATGTCTCTCATGAGTAAATGAAGAACATCTTTAAAAAAAATGAATTTTAGGGCTCCAGACTGTAAGCTCCAAAAGGGCAGGGATGATAGTTGCATTCATCACCATCATATTCCCAACAGCACAGTGTCTGGTTTATGAAGATGTTCACTGAAGCACTAAAAACCAAAACGCAAGACTGGCACTTCTCTCGTTAAACCAAGTCCTGCACCTTTTAGCAGTAGTCATCTGTTTAAAAGTTGAGAATTGGGGCGCCTGGCTGGCTTAATTGGTTAAGCATCTGACTCTTGATTTCCACTCAGGTCATATGTTAAAGGTCCTGAGATGGAACCCTCCCCACCCACCCTCACCCCATCCTGGGCTTTACGCTCAGCATGGAGTCTCCCTCTGCCCTCCCCTCACTCATGTGCATGCTCTCTTTCTCAAATAAATAAATAAATCTTAAAAAAAAAAGCAGCTATGAATCTGCAAACCATACATAGAAGAAGGTATATGGGTTCTAATCCAACTTTATTTTAAAGTACAGTTTCTGGGGATCCCTGGGTGGCTCAGCGGTTTAGAGCCTGCCTTTGGCCCAGGTCGTGATCCTGGAGTCACGGGATCAAGTCCCACATCCGGCTCCTTGCGTGGAGCCTGCTTCTCCCTCTGCCTGTGTCTCTGCCTCTCTCTGTCTGTGTCTCTCATGAATAAATAAATAAGATCTTTAAAAAATAATAAAAATAATAAAATAAATAAAGAACAGTTTCTGGGGTGCCTGGCTGCCAGAGTCAGTAAAGCATGCAACTCTCAATCTTGGGGTTGTACTCAAGCTCCACATTGAGTGCAGGGATTACTTTAAAAAATAAAATCTTAAAAAATTTCTTCTCGCTACTGTGTGGATAGAATCTAGATGCTGTAAAACCACTAAGTACCCTTGCAAATCCTGATGCCACCCAGAAGAGGAGTGCGACCGGCTGCCACACCTCCATCCCCTTGTGCCGAGGTCACACGTCAGCATCGCCGTTTCCACCAATCACTACCAGGTGAAGGACAGAGTCAAGCATTCATTTTCATATTTGCAGAATCTTGCTTCTTCTATCTATCTTCTCTGCTACTGCATGGCCTTCAAGTTCTCTTTGAGCTACTTTGTTTTCTAACGTCACTCCACAAACCGATAGAAAACTGAAAATGTCTCTCAAAATAAGACCCCGGCATTTGGGTCAAAACAAGCCCACCCTTTCAGTTTTACGGTGGAGGCATCTTCACATTATCCCCAGTCTCCCTCCCCTCTACTGTTTATGTTGCTGCAGCTTTTCCAAGGGACTCTGACACACTTCAATTCTTTTCTTCTTTCTTCCAAGTAATAAGAGGACAATTTTTACTCACCTTTCATTAAACTCTCTGAATAAAATGAATCGGAATATTTCAAATCACATCTTCTTGGCCTAAAGCTTTTACACAGTTCATTGCTAGCACAGCTACATTCACATGCAGAAAGACTCCTGAACAAAACCATGATCTGATTTTTAAATGTCGTTCCCATAACCCCATGCTTTGTCTTCCTTCTGCACCTTAGATACTTCTACCTACGTGTGCTTTACATTTCCTTAGCTACTTTCCTTCTCAACCTGCAGTGTGCATGCAGATTCAAGATACTTAGACATGATGGAAATCTCAGACCAGCAACATCCTTGAGCTGTTACAGTTCAGCCAACTGATGCCTCATCATTTCCATGTAAACCAGCCCTAGGGCCAAGAATACCCAGCAACAACATGTCAACAAAGGGAAGCTGAAACATGAGAAACTCAAAGCTTATCTCTAACAGGGGAGGAAGAGTGTTACTCTGGTGAAAGGCTACAATAATGGATGTATGTGGCAATGCTCCATAGCAAGTGGAAGAATCAACTAGAATAATAAGATCACCATCTAGTAGGTGAGGAGAAACACTAACACCACGATACTGTTATTTGAGATGGTATTTGGAGATGTCACCTAGATTCCTAAGGCTACTGAAATGTACAGAAATCCTATACTCCAGCTGGACTCCCCATCACAAGTTTGCAGGTAACCCTAAATGTCATTTCTTTCCCCTATGCAGCATTTTATTGTACAAAACCCTTTTGAAAGATCATGCCGTTTGATTTCAAAATCCACATGGCTGGACTGGTAGCATCACACATTTTAGAGATGGTGAAAGTGAAGCCCCAGCGAGGCTGAGGGCTGCTCTCAGGTCACATGAGTGACTGTTTGACACAGCCAAATCTGAACCCAAATCTTCTAACACCAGGTTCAGTGAACATAACATTATTCCACAGCTGGCCTCCCTTAATTCTAGGTGGTAAGTTCTTACTCAACTTCAAAACATATTTTGATATGTCATCTACAAAGTCCTCTCAGAAATAAAAATTTAAAACTAGGTCTCTGGACACTTACCTCTTGTGCAAATGACTCTGCTTTCTTTCGAAGATCCTTCTCCAGTTCCAAGTTTACTTGCATCTCCTCATACTCTTCTACTGCTAGCATGGACACTTAGGAAGACAAGGAAAAGAAATGGACAAAACACCACACAGACAGTCAGGAATCTGGATGAAAAACAGTGTTGAAAGGATTCTTTGTACCAGCATACAAGCGCCCTCATCCATTGCTGCTTGGAATATAAATGGATCAAACCATTTTTCAGGGCAGCTTGGCAATGTGAATCAAAAACCTAGAACCACTCATGCCCTCTGACTCGACAATCCCACTTTTGGGAACATACTGATTCCCCCGAGAGAATATAAATCATGAACATGTCCAGCAATGAAGCTGCAAGAATGCTCTTGGCATCACTGCTAATAACAGTGAATGATCCAGATGGTCTCAGAGGCAGAACCAGGAAAGTATGGTACATATACGAAACACGATTCTGCCACTGAAATGACACTGTAGAAGCATATTTATGGGACCAAAAGACATTCATGATATATATTTTTTAAATGAGTTCATTTCTGCTTTTTACAAGCTGCATACACAAAACACATTCACATGGCACTTCACAGAAGAGGAAACCTGTGAAAGGCCAGTGAATGTGCAGAAAGATACGTACCTTCACTAGTAATCAGAGAAATGGAAAGTAAAAACACAGGCACCTTTTTATACTCACCAAAGAAAGAACTGCAAAAGTCAAGAAGTAGAGTTACACCAAGTTTGGAGAGGATACAGAACGATGGGAGCAAACACACCGGTAACAGGAGTGGAAATCTACTTAAAAAGCAATCCGGCATCATGTGCTGGCACTGAAGAGAAACTTTTACATTTGGCATGTTATCTTAGTGAAACTCTTGAACACGTGCACCAGGAGGCATGTAAAAGAATTTCTGTAGCCGCATGACTCAGAATAGCAAAAAAGTGGAAAAAAACTCAAACTGGAACAGTGAATTCTGGTATAGACACTGAATGGCATCCTATACACCAGGAAAGTCAACATACCACAGCAGAGCCCTTTAGCAGGAACAGATCTCAGAGACACAGAAAACTGCACAGAGACATATGCAAAGTGATACCATTAATATAAAGTTCAAAAACATGCAAAATCAATCAACATGCTGGTTAGAGATACAGACATACTTGGTAGGACTGTAAATAAAAGCAATGATAAAAATCCGAGGGAGGAGGGGGTACAAGTAGAGATTGATGTTCAGGGACCTGTAAAGTGCCAAGAGCTAAAGAGGTATTTCTTGTGCTGATACTTCCCATCGTCCATATATGTTATGAACACACTTAACAAACTATTTAATGTGTGTGTGTGTGTGTGTGTGTGTATACATATATATGGTTTTCTTAAGGTTGGAAGAATATATACGATGTCAATAGTGCTTACTTGGAGTATAAATATTGAGATTTTTTTTTCTTTTCCTATTTGAATTTATGCTTTCCACCAAAAAGTATACTAACTGAAGAAAAAGAAAAATACATATACATATATATATATATATGTTTGTGTGTTATTTTTAAGCATCTTCCATGTTTACAAAGGGAAACAGCCCTAGATCCATTCAGGCCGAGTCAGAGCTCTGAATTAAAGAAATCAATGTAGGGCAGAAATTTTCAAAGGGAAGGTCTTGTCAAATAAGAGAACACGAAATCTTTACTACTTTCTGACGTTCCGTGGCCCGTTTAACGCTATAGACAGGCTCGAGGGAGTGATGATGCTGTTAGAAATTAGGCACAACACAGGTAGGTATCACACTGGCCTCTCCATCTGCCTCTACAAGGCACTTTCAATCCTGAGCTGAGTCATATCAATAAAATCTTTAAAAAGGCACTCTTAATGGCTGCTTTCACACAATGTTCCGCCAGGACACTTCAGTCCTAACTGACTAAGGACCGGTTTGCTGGGTAATGACATAGAATTTCAAGCTCTGTGCTCTGTAAATCTACTGCTTTCTCAGAGGAAAGACGAATACTCTTACTCCAGCAAAGCAATGTAAGTGGTGGTTTGTGATGTGAATTACAGGTCCCCGAGAGCCCAATGACTTTCAAACCTATTTAAAAAAAAGAAATTTCATGAAGAAAACAAAGACGACTATGACTATCTGGAGGCCTGGGCAACACAACTGACTCTCTTTTCTCAGTCTTGAACGTCACAATAAAAAAAAAAAAGAAGAAAAGAAAAGAAAAAAGTGAATTTTCACCTGTCCTGGCCCTTTCGACTTGGATTCTGAAAGAAATGTGGTTGGTCCTCATCACGCATTTAGTTATATAATCTCTCTCTCTTCCTAGGGAGCGGGATCTCTGAGGGCGAGATCCACGCGGTTGCCCTCTGCAGAACTGTCTGTTTCTAGCACCACGCATCAAGACCCGTTTCTATCTTCTTAAGTGTGGAACGAGCTGAGACATGTCACAATCTTTTTTTTTTTAAGATTTTATTTATTTATTAATGAGAAGCACAGAGAGAGAGAGAGAGGCAGAGACACAGGCAGAGGGAGAAGCAGGCTCCATGCAGGGAGCCCGACATGGGACTCGATCCCGGGCCTCCAGGATCACACCCTGGGCAGAAGGCAGTGCTAAACCGCTGAGCCCCCCTGGCTGCCCTGACATGTCACAATCTACCGTATCTCCCACACTGAACTGCCAGGTCCTTTATTTATTCAAAAATCTCAATTCGGGACCCAAAGGTAGAGGACTAGCACCAGTAACAACAGGGAAGGCTGGAAGGTTTCCTTTCAGTGTTGCAGCTTCTGAACTAGAAAAGAGAGTAGATGGGGAGGGGGGGGGAGAACAGAAAGTACAGGAAGTAAAAAAAAAAAAAAAAAAATCAATTAAAAAAAAAAAGTACAGGAGAGGCCCCGGCTCAGAACTGTGTTTGCAGAAGCGCCCCCGGTATCATTCGCTTGTCCTGAAGCAGGGGGTGTGGAAAACAGCCCCCGTGAGACCTGATGCCACGTTTTAGAACAAGGATTCCGTTTTCTCTGGTGGTAGCCCTTGGAGAAAATTCCTTCCCCCCATGAGACCAGGTGTGCTTCTCGTGATCAAGAGGTTCATTTTCATAGGATTCACAGAAATGATCATGAATCTCTACGGGACAGCTCAGAGCCAGACTTCACTGCACACAGGCAGGAATGCGCAGGACCTCACAGCTGGCAAGCAACGCTGTCTATCAATATTTAATCTTACTTTTGCTCTGCTTCATTTTCTATATTCTCTTTTTTTAAATTTTTTTCATATCATGTTGCATGTATCCATGTAGATACCCTAATCTCTTCTGGATTAAAAACAACCTTCCAACTCCATATATATTGAGGGAAGAGCCAATAATGCTATGGTCCCAGAGTATATGTAGATAGAACACTGTTTTGGTTTGAAGTGGGCCGTAAGTTGCTCAAGTGAAAAGCACTTTTAGAAATCCCAATACTCTGAGGTTGGGTGATAAAATAACCAGAAAGAGAGAGAGAGACTCAAGGCTAGAAATCAGGAAAACCAATACAAGGATATTCTTGTTACAAGACTCTTTAGGCAGAGGTATAAAACAACATAAAATGTATGTAAACCAAATAAATTACATACACAGCTGAGAAAAAAAAAAGACTGGAAACACCTACCTCTATTGCATTTTTCTAAGACTCTTCTCTGTTCAAGAACTTCTGAATTTAAAACATCTTTTTCTTGTTTAACTTTATTTACCTAAAAATGTGAGATTGTAAGGGAAGAAAACACCCAACATTGTAAAACACGACATAGGGTGATGTGTGGTACACAAACTGCTGTTCAACATTCAACATAAAGTTTTGCTTTACTGTGTTGGGCTTTTATTAATGTTCTTCTTAAGGTTTCAAAGGTAACTACTTAAGTTAGGATGTACCTTTGGTAGAAAACTTATTTACAAATTCCAAACGGCACTGGTCCCTAACCCTGTAAATGATATTTTTAATGCAAAAATCCAACTAGAAAGCACCCAGAAAAAATACACTAATCATGCAGAGATCCAATACTCAATCTTAATAGTAATTTCAAACTCTGATACCTTTTAGCTTAAGTAAAACACATATGAATTTTTTAAATGAAAAATACTTTAAACTTTGATGACTTCTGGCTTAAATAAAGCACACATGAAAATCTTCCCCAAAAAACTTATACTTCTGAGAAATTTTTGGTATCAATAGGAAGAGAATATCACAGGATTGTTCAAAAAAATAATGTAAAGTTATATGTATCAAAGTGGATAAATCTCACATGCACAATACTGAATTTTAAAAAGCAGGTATGGGGTGCCTGGCTGGCTCAGTCAGTGGAGCATGTGACTCATGATCCCAAGGTCATGAGTTCAAGCCCTACACTGGACGTGGAGCCTACTTAAAATAAAAATTTTTTAAAAGCAAAAATAAAAATCAAGTACATTTGCATCATTTAAAAACACTCAAAGTACCATGTATTATAGCAAGAAATGTAAGTAGACACATGTACTGGATGACAAAAACCAAATTCAGAATGCTGGGAAACAGGGCAAAGAGTGAGAAGAACGCAGTTTGGGAGAATGATACTGAGGTTTTCAAGACTGTGTATTAAGCTAGATAGTAGACGCACAGATCTTCATTATTTTGTTTTTTATACTTTTCATATGTCTAAAATAGTAATAATAAAAGTACTTCAGAAAGGGCTTCCACCAACATCTCTATGTGGGACGGCGACAGGATGATCAGTAAATAACCATAATTGAGGAAGAGAGTGCATCAAAATGTGTTTGTCTCTTTCTTAAGGTTACAGTCAAGAAACAAACTAAGATAATGGTCCTGGAGAGGGACTCTGAATCCACCAGCATGCCAGAGAGCCTGTGAACTGGTTGTTTCAGTATAAGCTCTATTTTTGGTTTTGGTTTGAATTAGTAACTGGTAACTCTCCAACAGGAGTGCCACTTCCGAAGTATCATCATCCTCCTGCCCATTCATTAGGAAGCTCTGCCACAGGAAGTAAATACGACCAAGGCTGAAATTAGTGGACACTACCTCCCAACCTTTCTCTCATTATGGCTCTTATGAAAATAAGATAGGTACACAAACTGAGGTAGCTAGATAAGGCCGCTCACTTGAAGGGATCGATGCCTCGATCGATGCCTCAGCATTAATTGTAAGTCACCTGAGGGATGGGTCTGAAAGCTTGGGATGTGGAATCTGGGAACCACGGACACAAGTTAAATCATGATCTCAAACGCAGTTCCTGGAAGCATCGTGCCAAGAAAGGCAATTATGGGCTCCTGTTCTTAAAGACCATTCAAAAGGAAAAATTAAAAGTTTCTCTGAACACCAACTTGAACCCATTTTGCCATCTATCACATATGCTTATGTTGGAGGTACACAAGAGGACCCTTCCCAACTGAGCCAACTATCCGATGGAGAAGCAAAATATGTCTTCAGCAGCAGCAATAAAGTAGATGACTCAAACTGCAGGTATTATTCTTTCAAATTTGCCTCACATAGTGAAATATGGGGATAACAGGAACACTTCTTGCGATTTTGATGCTTTATTTACTGAGCTAGGTAGTGAGTATATGAATGTTTATGATCTTATTTTCTACACCTTTTTGTATATTTGAAATAGAGATAGAAGAGAAGATCAAAATTGGTACATGGTTCTCACGTCTGAAATTAACCCGACATCAAGTTTTTAACTGAGCTGGTCTCCAAACACCCTAAAAACACCAAAAGTCTTGCTTTTCAGGCCTAAGATACATACTTCTTCCATTACTTCTACAAGTTTGCTCTTGAGATTTTCCAATTCAATCGCTAATATCTTCTTCTCTTCCTGAACCGATACAATTTGATCTCGAAGTTCTGCATTTTGAAAGAAAAAATAAAAGGAGGGAAACAATATAAATAAAACTTATTTTTAAAAGAATCAATCTTGTAAAAGACCTGGATATGCCAGTCCCTGTGTAGCTTATGGTCAAGGTTACTTACCAGTTAAAAGTAAAATGAAGAAGCAGAGAATGATGGAAATCTCACTTCTGTGCCCCTGCATGCAGCCAAAGTTATTAATAATCTTATATCACACTATCTCACTGTATTATTAAATGTACCAGATCATGTTTTCTCTGCATTCTAGCAAGCTCGTATTTTAGAAAACTCTCTGGCATTTTACAAGTAAAATGTTTTAAGATTTCAGCAAAACAAATTAAGGCATTGTATTAATTTCCTATTTATTTTAAAATGGCCATGGGCTCTTGTCACAATAAAATGTAATAAACAATGGGGCAGTTGATAATTGGCAGAAAAAAATCCTGACCTGCTGCCAATTTATAGCACTCAAACATTATTTGAACAGACTCAAAATATAACCTATTTGAAAAAGGGTTAATTCTAGTAATTTTCTCTCCAAAGTTGTTGGTATTCTGTTTCTTAATTTATTTCATATTTTTTACTGTTGGAATTTAACAAAAACTCTTATTACCAAAATGAAAAAATTAGCAACCATTAAGTGCAAGAGCTTCTGGTGGTAGATGAAAGTTACTTTCACCACTCAAACAGTAAAAAAACATACACAGAAGGGCAACTGGGCAGTCGATTGAGTGTCCGACTCTTGATTTTGGCTCAGATCATGATCTCAGGGTCCTGGAATTGCTGGAGTCAGGCTCCATACTCAGCGGGGAGTGTGCTTGAGGATCCTTTTCCTCTGCCCTTCCCCTTGCTCATTCTCGTTCTCTCAAATAAATAAATTTTTTAAAATATATATATTATACAGATTAGCATAGTCTTAAATTGATGCCCAAGGACTCCAGTTTTGCTATTCAGGTTTTACCTGCTTTCAATTTCTTACCCTCTCCAAGGACAGTTAAAAAAAAATTCTCTGAGGTTATTTATAAATTGAATCAAACATTTACAGGAACCCGACCTGGAGGAGTTCTCAGACACTTCTATCAAAATCACTTTCTCCAATGGCTAGCCTAATCCTGAAGGAAGAAATGACGGACTATCGCATCCAAGACCTAAGAGAAGGGGAGGATTATGGACAAAGGAAAATCCTGTCAACTTCTCCCTCTCCACCAACACAAATGTTATTTTGTCTTAGGTTAAGGGGGTGGAGTGCCAGATAAAGAGGGTTTTCTTATACTTCTCTCTACTTCCAATTGAAGTTTTATCTATGCCGACAAGCTGACAAGTATTGCTTCTGGCATATGCCTAATGCAAAAATGCCCTAAAAGTTATTGAGCTTCAGACTGCTTTCCTACATCTTTAATATAAACAGTATGTACATATAATCATGTATATGTGTGTATATATATATAAATCATAAATAAAATTAAAGTGTATTTACTAGTGGTACCATGCGATGCTACACCTCACGCTTATCAACACATCAGTTGTCTAACAGTGTTTATGCTGGACACTGCATACTGCTCACAATTCAGTGTCTGAATCAGATGAGGAATCCTCTGAGAGCAGAGACTCCACAACGTGGGGAGGAATCTTCCCCAAAGATTCCAAAAAAGAACCAACAAATAGGAGGCACTGGCTAAATATGATTTTATCTATTCTTTCTTTCACTTAACAAAAATAGCTCAACATATAGTCCAGATTTTTAAGAATATTTACAGACTGGCTGTTTTCATCAAGATAATGCTTTCAAAAGTGCCTACTCCCAAACAAGAAAGTAATTCATAATGCACAAATGTGATGTCCTTCAGTGATTCTCAACCAGGCAACTCCCTGGGAACATTTAACTCCAAAACTTTTTAAAGGAGGATCCAAGGCTAAAGTTCTCAGGTGATACCAATGGACAACCAGGGCTGAGAAATATCAGAAATACCCCCAGTGATGAAGCCAAGTCTCACCTTTGATCTGCTTCTGACACTGCACGGAGACACACGTTTCTGCAGTGCCTTCTGGGTCGGTGCTGGCATCTTCGTCATCAATGTTGATCTCCTCAGTGATTACATCTGGTCCCAGCTTGGCCATGTAGAGCATGCTGATTCTTTTCAACGTTTTATTTTCTTTATTTAGCTAAGGCAAAATGCAAAAACAGTTATTTTACCAGCAGTCAAATGAGTGTCTTGGATTTTTAAACAATAGACAGATTAAGTGTATTTCTGTCCTTACATATTCATCAACACTCACAGCATGAACTAACAATTAGAAGATTCATGAAGTAAGGTTTTATTTACACTTTTAGCATTAAACTTATTAAAGACCTGCTGCCTGGATTACAGGTGGTGACATGGGAAAATGCTAGTTATCATTGATCATGTAAGAGGGCTGAAGATAAAGTATCAGTATAGACTTTGTCACTTCACGTGAGACCTGATGCCTGGATTACAGCCAATAGCATGGGATGATGCTAGTTATCACTGATAACATGAGAAGACTTAAGATAAGACACAAGTAGAGATTCAGTCACATTTCAATTTATTCCATCCTTAATAGTGTCAATTAAGGCATTTTATTTCAAGAAAATGTTTTATTTGCTGCTGTGCGCACTCTTTACATGTTTGTTAGCCCAGCCCTCCCTCTTCTCTGAACTCCACTACTCTCTTCAGTGTCCCACAGGATCTCATGGGAACAGCTGTGTTCCCCCAGGGAACCCCAGGGGCTACCTCCCCCTCTGGAAGCAGCCCAACAAGTCAGGCACAAGAGTCCAGGCTCGGTCAGTCAGATCTCTTCTCTAGAAATTTGGAGGCTGGAACAGAGAGATGAGTTTCCTCCCACGTGTCTGGGTGGACATAAGCTGTTGGCAACCACAATCCACTACTGAAATGAGGAACAAAGGAAGGTAGCCCAGAGCAAAGCCAAAAACGGAGCTGATTGCAGAGATAGGCCGAGAAAAATAATGGAGACAGGTTTCCCACAGGACTCTGGTCCATACTCGAAATGCTCCTAGCTCATGGATTCCAGTGGGATTCTCCAATATCCCTCATTAACAAATTCCTTTTTTTTTTTCCTTTCGACAGTGGAAGAAAAGATGTGTTGCTGTTATCTCTATAAAAAGAGTTCTAATTCATAGCAGGAAAAAGAAATCCTAATTCATTAATGTATTTGTTATGTGCATATAAACACTAGTGCAAAGCACACACAAAGACTAAACTTGGTCCAAAGTCCATAGAAGGAAAGTATGGTTTCCTTATGTTTTCTCTTCTCAAGACTAAAAAATAAAAGGTCTCCTCTGAACACATGAACACAGAGAAATGCAACCTCTTTTCTTTTACTAAGAGCCAATGACCGGCAAGACAAGTTCTGAATTAAATAACTGACACTGGAAATAAATGCAAACAGGAACTTAATTCACTGGAAAGCTAACTAGCCTTCTTCACTTATAAACCTATGTCAGGGTAGGACGTGCTACTACTTGTCCGGTTCTGATCCTTCATTTGTGATCATAATTAGGACCCCTCACAGACTCCCTCAGGGAAAAGCCCAGACCATTTCAAACTGGGAGAGCTGATTCTCACCCACAACAACACTGAATCTAAATATATTTCAAGTAGCCTGGTCTAGAGCACAAGAGGTTTCCCTGACCTCTCTGGGGAATCCGGAAGAAATCTATTAGAAATGGCTAGGAACTTTTCCACAGATTCCCCCTGGGAAGTCTAGTGAACTTTACTGGGGGAATCTGACACAGTCTTTTTTTTTTCCCTGACCCCCACTGCATAACTCCAGCTTCTAGCTCCCCCAGTACATTAGGGGGATCAGGGATAAGATAGTAGCTCATGATTCCATGCCTCTCTCCCTAAAGATGAAATTCAAGGAAAGACTGTTGTGAGTTGCACCATGGATGCTACAGGATGGCACTAGAGGCTCAAGGATCCTGGCCAATACTCAGACATGCCATCTTGTCTGAATGGCAGGAGAAAATAACAATTTAAGGAAAAAGTGAAAACATTCAAGCCTTCATTTGTAATTCTGCCTCCTAATACTTTAATGGTCTCCAGCTTTGCACATTAGAGTCTCTAGAGAGCTTTAAAAAAAAAAAATCCCAGTGCACAGACTCTCCCAGACCCAAACCTCTGGCAGTGGAATCCAGCACAGTACTCGCCCCAAGTTCTCAGGTGATGCTAACCCACATCAATATGAAGAATCCTTGATATAGAGAAAGGCAATGCTGTAGTATCTGTTTCTATAAAATCAGAATTAAGAATTCTGCTCTATAATCCAATGTCTCTACCTCTAGAATAACCTCATCTTTCAGAGTAGTATAGTCCCCTCATCAGCAAACTAAAGATAAAAATCACCTCTGCCCCATAACATGAAGATTGAATAAGATATGACACAGAAAGTGTTTAATACAGTGATGGACACACAGGGAAGTGTCAGCTGGTGTTAGCTCCTGACAGTAACAAAAGAGGTTTAGGTTGTGTGTCTGACTTTTCTTTGGGAATACTTTACCAGCTAGTTTTCTTCAACCAAGATATATATCCATGCAATTTTTTCTTCCTCCGGGATACTCACAAAACCACAAAAATACTAATTTTTTCTACCTGGCCCTTAATATGCTCATTCCTAGGCCATTGTCAGAATCCTACTTAATAATCTGATTGTTAACAGTTCTATCATCAGAAGAGTTTAATGCCTTTCTCTGCCAAGCCAGGCACCAAAATCCACCAGCACTAGCTGGTTATACTACAACTACTCTATTTAACAAAGTTACTAACTCAAGAAAAAAGCCATATATGGGGCACGTGGCTGGCTCAGTCAGTAGAGCATGCTTTGATTCTTGATCTCAGGGTCATGAGTTCAAGCCCCACATTGGGTGTGGAACCTATGCTTAAAAAGGGGGGGGGGAGCCACACAGAAAATTTCAGAAGTCTTCTCTGAAACACCATTCTCACATTCTGAAGGAAGAAAATAAGATTTATATACATAAAGATCTCATGACCACATTAAATGCATATTTTTGAAAATTCTGAATTCACAAATTTTGGCTAAGCAATTTCACTGAAGTTATTATTCATCAAGTTATATATGTTAATGGCATGCTAATTGTTTTTTTGGAATCATTCTAAGTCCAAAAGCAAAAAGAAATCTTTCATAACCGTGCAAGTAACAGAATCTTCTACTACATTCAAATTTAAATAGTTTTTATATTGGGTGCAGCTTAATGAATATTTAAAGATACGAAATAAGCAAGTTAAACAGACTTGGACCATATGGTTTAAAGAACTGGTCTATATTTATCAGTTTAACCTACACATTTTACCAAAGTATCCACCCTTGCTTTTAAGAAAATTATGCAAATTGCATCTTAAGAATTAAACATTCCATTTGTCATTAATTTGAGAGCAAAGATTTAGAAAAATAGGAATAAATTTACAGAAACTTTGTTGCTTTAAAAATGGAGTCTAATTTTAAAAATGACAATTGGGATACCTAAATCAGGATGTGCTACTTATTGATCACACATATAATGAAGCTTCCAAACTTTGCATTCAAAGCTGTAGTATTCTCCAGATCCAGTGAGCACATCTATAGGTTTTTTGACTTGTTTTTTTTTTAATTCCAAGTCCCACGAGGGACTTGTATCCTCGAAAACAAACCATATGACCATTTTCGAAGGACTTTGTAAAGACTAGAGGACAAACCGAGTAAGTGAAGGATCCTACTGTCAAGGTGAAATTATAAAACTGACTTTTGAGATTAGTAACATAGTGGTTTATAATAACCAGAGACGAACACAACAGTCACCTAGCAACTTTCTCAGCACACAGCTGTCCTGGGCTGCACACCCTGCATCAGTGAGTCTGGGGTATTCTTAAGAAATCAATGCTGGTCCACCCTGACACTTAGGACAAGGCAACTGTAGCTCAGAGAGGTGCATTCTCTTGCTCAAAATCACCTGGCAGTTTAAAAAAGGAAGGAGGGGATCAAATCTTTTTTTTAAAGAGGCCTGTAAAAACCCATGAGTAGAGTGCTTCATGAAAAAAGAAAAGTCCGCCCCATTCTCCCCGCAGTCCTAACTCTAGTCCATCCTGTCATTTAAGATGAGACTACAGCAATGCGGAGACCAGAACTAGTAACTTGCCCAAAGTCACATATGCCCCAAATGACATCACTGGGAATAAAACCTGTATATGCTGCCTCCCAAACCCTTGCTCTCCATTAACTCATTCAGTCCTGCGAGGTAGTCAGGTTCGCACCTTGCATGTACCGCTGGCAACAGGGATACTTAGCAATGGCAAGAGAGAATACAAGGACTGTCCTTAGCCACTGCAAGATTCTGAGCAGCTGGTATGCTCCAAATACATTTTTTTTCTCCTTGTTCCAAAAGGAGGAATAAAGGATATGAGAAGAGAATTCACACAGTTTTATGGACCAGTGAACACTTAGTGAAGTGTAACACAAAACAAGTGATGGGAGAGCACCCATACTATGATTGTTTTAAAAGCAATGGCCTGTATTGCTATGTATTCTTCAAAGGAGTAACAGAAGTTGCATGCACACGTTTATATTCTTAGGTTCCGACTGCATTATCTTATGAATTCTAATGTAGTGTCATTACACAAACAATTAAGCAAATACCTCTAGCAAGCACACTGCTAATGCACACAAATTAAATACAGAGATATATAGACAGACTGGCTGATTGATTTGCAGAATTTCAGTCACATCCAAAGACATACTTTGGAGGTAGGTGATGGGGAAGAGAGGAAGACACACAACTGGCATTACTAATGATATTTGGTTAAAAATTGCTGTAATCCATTTTCTGATGAAGTGGTTCAGATGCATTTTACCCAACCCCAAAAACGTAAGACAGAGATAAAAACATTCTTTAATAATAATGTACTTCTGATGAGATAGAATATAGAAAATTATACTCCTGGTAAATTCATCAGCTAGAAGCAATCAGTGGAGCACTGGAGGTCACCTTTAGCATGCCCTCGCTCTGCTTTCACAAATAATCACCTGAAACGTACAGCTGGAGGCCGACTTTAAATCAAACATGAAAACACTCATTGCTCCTTGATGTCACACCAGGTTAGTTTTAAACTTGGCGAACGTTTGCACCCAATGCACAGCCACATAGAAAGTCCAGCTGAACGCACTAGCCTGGGGCCATTTTTCAGAGGCAAAAATCACAAATGCTGAAAAGCACACTACAAAATGCCCCTTTTACAATCGATATGACCTAGGCACTAAGATCTGTACCTAATCCTGTTCCAGGATTTTCAAAACTTACGACACTTTTTCCTCCTCATCCGAAGAGAGACCGTTGATTAGGAGAGCAAAAGCGAAGAGAGGCCACTCTGCAGAAAAGCAAGTTGAAATTAAAAAGCTCAAGTAGAGAATTCCCTTATTTGAAGAGTCTCACCTTTGTTGCCAGAGCTTCAGCACTTTCTCGACAAGTCTTCTCTATTTCAAGATGGTTCTGCATAAAATTGACTTCCTCTATAACCATGTGAGAAACTAGGAATGAGGGGAAAAAAGTCTCAGCATTCAGAGATTAGTCAGCGATTCCAGAAGCCCACACATTGCATCCCATGACTCAGAATACTTCAATTCTTTAGCTAGCCAGACCTTCAGCTATTGAGGGGGGGACGGGACGGGAGGGGGGAGTCTTGAAGATGCTGCCCTGATTAAATCTTAGCTAATATATGAATGTGGAGCAGGAAAATAACACAATGAAGAGCCTTTACTGCTGGCTCACACATTTTTAAGAAAGCTAGTTAGGATGTTTTAAGTTTTTTTTTTTTTTCCCTATGTAGCTGTACACATAGCCACGGACACGTCCACTTAGACAAAAGAATCTCTTCTAAATAACAAGTGGCAAACACGATTTCTCCTTTTCTTAACAGGACAGAACACGTGGGTCTAATACAGAAAATCTGCTAACTAAAAATTTTAAAAAATAAATCTTAACTTGATCTTCTTAACTGGAATAACCATGTGGCAGTTGAGCTGAGGTCAGTATGCAACAGCCTTCTTTATGAGTGAGTGACAAAGTAGTTACTATTATTTAATAAATTCCGGGGCAGAAAAGTATAGCAACAAGAGTTATGTATTCTATGATGATGACAGCAGATGTTTCTTGCATCACAGACCATCAGGAAGATTGGAAGAAAAAATACAATTTTACAGTACACTTTACCAATGCTTGAAAAATAGTAATTTTCAGGTTCTTTTAGTAGCTGGTTTATAGAAAATGAGATTCAAAAGTACAAAGTGATTTAGAACTTGCATTATACTTTGAAGATCAAGTAAAAGAAAAGTGCCAACTCCTTTCACCCATACTTCTAGTTAAAAGAAAATGTTCAGAATCTTAAACTTAACTGTAAACGTGTATACTTATTGACATTTGTTTGGCTTAAAAAAGAAAAATTAAGTATACCCAAATGTGAAACCCAACAAAGTTAGGCAAAAAGCACACTGGGCTCACATAACACAAAGAGAGATTACTTTTGCTTCATTTAAGCTTAATTAACCTGCAATTATGATTAAACTCAGGGGGGGAAAAATTTCTCTCCAAATTAAATACAAAAATGTATTACTTCCTAAGTCTGTCCAAAGTTCTTATTATGTTAATATTCAAATTCATAAAGCAGCACTAAATGGCCAGAAACATCTCTAACCTTGACATTTTTTCAGGGGTAATAATAATCTGCAGCAAATGCAGGCCAACCAAAAACCACTTAACTAATTAGTAGTTGCAGTCACCGAGAAAAACATGAATCAACACTGTTATTACAAGTGGCACATTTGAGTGGCATCTAATTATGACTTGATGAGCACGATACTTGCATTATCAACATTACTACTGCATCCCATCAGGTCCTAAAAGCTGCTGATGGCACTGACTTCGAGAAACTCCCACTCAATGGTACAGCAGCACCCAACAATCGGCTTGGCAGGGGCCCCCCTCACTAAATGACACGTTAAGCGTAATTACTGGTAGACATTGTAAATAAACAGGATTGGAAGTGAAAATTGTACCAAGTGCATAAGACACAATCTGACACATTGGAAGTGGCAGCCTTAATTGAGAGTTTCTTTGACTGCTCAAGATCATTTCAACTGCATTTCTCAGAGGACAGTGATTATAACTGTGGAGACAGACGGCATAATGGTATCAGCACTGCTGACAGAGCAGTGAATTAAATTGTATCTGCTGTTGTGTGAAAGCCTTGATGAGAGGTACAGATGCCTTAGTGGTCTTATCATTATAACACAATGGTCATGTTGTCATCAACCTTTCTGGCTCCAATTGAAAAGAAATGATTGTGTGTTGAGGCTCTGCCCCCCTTTCCACGCCACCCCCCTCTCCTCTTCTATCTCTTGTTCTGAATAGAACCAATTTTCAGAGAGCTATGAAATCACGCAATAGGTCCTAAAATGCAGCTGCTTGGCATACAAACGGGTCCCCATTAAACTGGAATCACACACAATATGTGTTTATGCCAGAAGAACAAATAGAAGCTGAACACAGGCCAAGTTTATTCACACACACAAAGCCCATGTAGCTCTTCATCAATATAATTGCCTTTTATATTGTAGTTTAAATAATAGGCTCTATTATTTCCTTAAAATCCTAATATTCTTGGCATTTTATCACTATGTTTACAAGGTAGGTTCTTCAAAAATGTGAAGGAAAGAGAAAAGAAACCTATACAATTTTTACAACATCAAATATTACTTTGAATTTTTAGCCTTAACTACTTGACTTCTTCTGCCACAATCTGGTATTTCCACTATCATAACAAAAACATAAACACTCTGCATGTTTCATAGGAATTTGACTTTTTATTCAATAACATTCTTGCTCATGGAAGAGTAAGAAAAATCATTCCACCATAGCAAGGTTTAGGCCCAGCAAAAAGAAAAAAGACACACACACACTTATTTCCTGAACATTGTGTAAAAGGCTGCCCTGTAATTTAACTTGATAACCTTACATAGGCAGCACTACCCCACATTTTCTCTAATCCTCATAGAGCAGACCCCATCAGACAGGTTGTTGTTGTTGTTGTTGTTTTAATCTCTGCCTCTTAAAAGGAAACAGTAAAAAATCAAAAGTTGGGCTTTGATTTCTAGTTTAAAAAATTATCTCAATGCTAAATAGGGAGCAAAGAAATCTATCGACTTTCTAGATTCGAAAGAAAAGAATATATTTCAGAGGGCATTTATGTCCTTAAAAAGCACAGTCCCATTTCTAAAACCAAAAGTCAGGTTACGTGACACAAAACAGAAATTTTTGTAGTATATAATTTTATTTGCACCTTTCAAACAATGGAAGTTTAAAAAAACCTCTAATTGTTCACTTAGTGATTTGCCGTATGGTGCTGAATTCAGGCTTGTCTCATAATATCCACAGACCATGACCACTATACCTAAACTATCTGTAATTTGGATGGCATGAAAGTTTAAAAAAGAATAAAGATGAATCCTAGTCTTTTAGAAATACTAACTGAAATATTTACGATGAAATTATCGTCATTAAATGATATGATGAATGGAATTCATTTCAAAATACTCCGAGGCGGGATGTATGGACAGAGATGAAAGTAGCCTGGCCAAGAGTTGGTTAACTGTTGAAGTTCTATGATGGATACATAGGGGTCCGTTGTAATATTTTTTCACTTTTGTATAAGCTTGATATTTGTCATAATAAAAGTTGTTTTTAATGACTCTGACAACTCAGAAGCATAAGCTAAAAGTACATCCATTATTGCTTTCATCAGTCTAGTTGAACTAGTGAAGTTTGCTTTTCCTCTTCACGACACGCTTACATACTTGCCATCATGGAATGCATCACCCTGTAGGGCAACTGGGCTTTTCTCTCTTTCACTTGTGTCTGTCTCTAATTATCGGCGATCATGACAGCAGAGATTTTGCTTTACTCACATCTGACTCTTCTACCTAGCAAAATGCTACGTATAAACTAGGTAGTCACGTGTGTTTGTTTGAATGACTGGAAAAATCTACCAGGCCTACGTTCATCACACCTCTTCACAAGCATGTTCTCTTTAGAACATAACTGCTTAGGACACAATACCATCACCAACTATTGGGCTTATTGTGTGCCCAGCCTGTGCTACATCCTTTCCATGTGCTCTGTCCTGAATCCTCACGATGGTCTTACGAGGTAGGTATCATGACAGCAACTTTATATTGGAGAACACTGAAGCCCAAAAAAGTCAAGTAACATGTATCTCAAATTACAGAGTTCTAACTGGTAAAGCCCAGCCAAACCAATTTCTAGGTGACTAATTTTCTCGGTTTCTCTCTAACTTGTATTTAAAAGTGACACCACCAACGGTACTGCCCTCAGTAGCACTCCTCTCCATCCAGCCAACTCTCAGCGATATTTAGATGCAGGACATCTCTGAAGCGTATGTGGTGAACACACTGTAAGTTCTCCTGCAACGTCAGATTTTTTGAAAGGTATCCACATAGTGTGAAAACAGTGATGAGAGCTGGCAGGTGTGCAGGAAAACGGGTGTGTCCCAACACACAGCAAAGGCTCTCATATTCTGTCTGAAGGACCAGAAAAACCTTTAGTTACTTCTTCTGTCACACGAATCTGTCTTCCTAGGGAACGTGGCTTTGCTATGAGAAAGGCTGAGGCCCTGGGAGAGGGCAGAGAATGGAGTAATATGGATGAACCAGCTAAGAAGAGCATGCCAAGCTAGGTGAGTTGAGCCCCAGCCTAGGAGAGCTCATTCAGCTGCTCTTCCCTCACTTTGAGATGTGCACCTGGCAGGTAAATGTAATAGGAAGGCAGATTTCAACTTGGCACCCACACATACTCTCCCCCTCCCCAGGGCTGCCCCACGTGTCAAGGCCAGTGTCTGAAGGGCACTCAAGCTCTGGATGGGGATAGTGAGTGAGATGGTGGTAGCAGCAGCTAACATTTATTGAGCACTCAAACTATAATGCCAGGCACTGTGTTCAGCACTTTTTACATGAATTATCTCATCTAATATTGAACAGCCCTTGAGGCAGGGTCATTTATTCCAATTTTACTAAGGCAGAAACTGCTCGGGACTACATGGATTTACATGGTGCTCTTTACTGGTGGGAACTTCTCTATTACCTTCCAAATTTGAAACTCTACCCTCTGTTCCAAAGTCATCAACTATTTACCCCAGACACAATGCTTTATTTAACAAATATTTATAGTTTTCATCATCCCCATTTCCTGTTCTTTTGAGACGGAGTCAAGAGTCAGCATTCTGTTCTGCCATCCGAACTTTAAATTAATTAAGCAGACTTACAGTAAGTCAAAACTTCAATGAATACAACAATAAAGATCATTGTACTACCTTTTCAATGGATTCCCTCATGCTTTGAGTTGCTCATAAGGAAAAATGTGTATTTTTAAAACTATCAAAGATATTTAGAGTTAGAGACAAAGGAAGTGGGAGAGGAAAGGAGTTTACGGGTTACTCTAAAGGTAGGCTGATTTGGGGGGAAGCGCCTTCCATTTCTGCTTAATGCAAGAGGCCAAATGCCCACTAGCTGCCCAACAAAAGCATTTTATGTTAAGCCCAACCATAAGAACTTGAACTATTCCCACTACACAGAACATGCCAACCCCCCATCAATAATTAATTTGAGAACATGAATTGGTAACAATATCAGTGGCACACTCTCTCAGTGTGACTTGGTGTCAGCCAAAGTGTAAGCACATCCCATTGATCCTGCATTAGGGAAGAAGAAAGTCCTACACAGTTGCAATTCATACATTCACAAATAAGAGATATTTCTGTCACAGCATATTGGCCTCCAAAGAAAAGTAACATCAACAGTATTTCCCTGGGATTTTGTTACAGCCAGACACTTGAAATAAACTGGCTATTGAAATCAACTATAATATTTCATTCTCATGGCTGTTTAACCTTCAACAAGAAGAAAATGTTTTGTTGTGTAGTTACCAAATCAACATTTCATGATTTAATGGAACAACCTAATACAGCATCTGCAAAAAGATGGAGAAAGACCCTGTTTCCAAGAGGGAGGATCATCTTTTCCTGCTAAGGTCTGGTCCTTTTCCAATGACCTATTTCCTTCTGATCATTCTGAGCGCCATCAGATACATTCTATCTTAGGGGCAAGGTAATGACAGATTTGCAGGAAATGCTACAAAAATAGCATAGCAAAAATTTAGAAGATTTATTACAATTTTTGTGGGAATACCACATTCCTTAGAGAGGGGGCCATTTCAAACATTCAAAAATGTATAAGTTCTGTGAGCCAGAATTCCATTTCTATGAATTAATGTAAGAAACAAATCAGACCACTGTACAGACATATAAGAATACTTGACATGGTATCACTTAAAATATCCAGAATTCAGAAATAATCCATCTATCGCTGAAAGAATGTTGAAATAAATTGGGGTACTATCGTGTAATAGGATACTAACACTAATATACAGCTCTATCAACATGCAGAGATGACCATGATATACTGCTTCCTGAAAAAAGCAGGCTGCAAACTGAATGTAAAGCATGCCTTTATTTTTGTAGACATAAGTACTGAGCACAGATAAGAGACCAAGAAAGACAGACTATAAAATATTAACATTAACATTGTCTTTTCTCCAAGAGTCAAGATAACAAGTAATCTTTGTTCTCCTTTAACTGTTCTGCATAGTAAAAATTTTAGAAGTGCAAACTGTTTTTTATAATAACATGAAACAATAATGCTCATTCCACTTGTTTGAAAATCACAGTAATGCCAGAACTTTCGGAGAGGGGGGGGAGGACAAATGGGAAGACAATTCTCGCTTTCTTGGATGCCTAAGACAGCAGCAACCGAACACAGGGGACATGCCTACCCACATAATTCCCAAACAGAGTTATGTGTGTTATAATAATTCCAATGAAATGCTTACATACTTTTCTGAAATTCCTCCAGTTTTTTAACAGCTTCATCTCGTTCTTGCCTAATTTTGTCACACTGAAATGAGAAAGCACAGAAATGTTAAATTTGTATCACAAGTTTGGGAAGGCAAGAAAGAGCAAACATAAACAGTAACAATTTTATGAAAAGAAAACAAAAATTAAAAACCCTTTAAAAGCATTAATGTTCACATGGTACTTATTGGTACTTATTCTCCTCAACCAGCATGGTCTTTGTACCATTTGCATCTGTCCACTTGCCTTGGACCTTCTAAGATAATGAGTCATCATCTTACTGCTCATTATCTCCTCAGGAACAAAACAATTTAACATCCTTGAGTTCAAATTACTTATTCTTAAAGAAAATGTATGTGCCTCTTATTAACTAGGTATTTTGCTAACACAGTGAACACCCCATGCATCTACAGGTCAGATTCTCTGAAACTAGGCAGGGAGGAACTCTCCAGAACTCTTCAGAACACTGATGCACAACCAGAAGTGACCCCTACAGAAGACAAACTGCTGTTGGGCACCCCTTGAAATCTTCAGTTGAGGAAAAAAAATGTCTTCGTATCCTTAGAATTCCAAATAGAAGGTAGCAGACTAAAATGAGAGAAGATAAAATATTCCACAATAAGCATATATCATTCACATAAACTAATTTTTACTTTTAAAAGGCGGAAGGACAATAAAAAAATAAAAATAAATAAAAATAAATAAATAAATAAATAAATAAATAAATAAATAAATGGTGAAAGGAACATTAGGAGGAGGTAAGATCATAAAAAGTAAAAGTAACTATTAAAGTATGAAGATATCTTACTGGTATAGAAATGAGTATCCATTAGTTTATTTTAACAGGCCCTCAAGGTATTAATGATTTTTATAAAAACCTCATGTTCAGTATGAGGACTGATTCAACTTACTGGGAATTTCACAAAACAGGTTAAGTATAACACATTGTAGAAAGATTTTCATCAAGTCTAAAACTTTAAAAAGTGATTTTTAACTATTAATAATAATAATTAAAAGTTGAATGGTCTAGGGCAGCCTGGGTGGCTCAGCGGTTTAGCGCCGCCTTCAGCCCAGGGCGTTGATCCTGGAGACCCAGCAGGATCGAGTCCCATGTCAGGCTCCCTGCATGGAGCCTGCTTCTCCCTCTGCCTGTGTCTCTGTCTCTCTCTCTCTCTCTCTCTCTCTCTCTCTCTCTCTCTCTCTGTCCCTCATGAGTAAATAAATAAAATATTTAAAAAAATTTTTTTGAATGGTCTATACTATACACTATAAACTATAATGAGGGTCGTGTGAGTAAAGCACAACTTTAGATTTTAATCCTACCCTGCCAGATAAATACCTTGGGACTTCATGCTTTTGGATATTTTTTATTTTAAATTTCAATGGGTAGGGACGCCTGGGTGGCTCAGCAGTTGAGCGTCTGCCTTCGGCTCAGGGCAGGATCCCAGGGTTCCGAGATTGGATCCTACTTTGAGCTCCCTACAGGGAGCCTGCTTCTCCCTCTGCCTATGTCTCTGCCTCTCTGTCTCTCTCATGAATAAATAAATAAATCTTAAAAAAAAAGTTTCAGTGGCTAAAAAATTATGATGCCACTGATAACTTGGTAAACCTAAATTAAGACAGTGAGACAGTCTCATCCAATAGACTGGAAGAAACTGAAAAGGTTTGCTTTCAGGAGTTGAAACCTCTCACATACTGCTGGCAAGAGTGTCAACTACATAACTAGCTTGGAAACAAACTTAACTAGTTTGGGAACAAACTATCAAAATTGAAAATAAACATACACTATGACTCAGCAATTCCACTTCTATTTTTTTTCTTAAGGTTTTATTTTTAAGTCCTCTCTATACCCAGAGTGTGGCTCAAACCCACCACCCCTGTGATCAAGGGTCACATGCTCTTCCAAATGAGCCAGCCGGGCCCCCTGCAATTCCATTTCTGGATTCTAATACTAGAATCTCTAGTAATGTGTATGAGATGATCTTTATGCACATAATCGGCATCTATAACAATAAATCATGGTATATTCATATAATGCACTAGAGAACAGTGAATGAATGAACGTAAGCTGCATGTATCGACGTATACCTCAAAAGCCATAAGGGTGAATAAAAGGCTTTGGAGAATCCATGTCAATATATACCTTAAGCAAATAAAATCACTTTATATATGTATATTGTAAATGTACATTTCATGATCCATATACAAAAACACAAAATAGAAGGATATGTACAAAACTTATCATGGTAGTTATACCATAAAAGACAGGGAAGGGGAAGGGACCCAGAGCGGTATGACACAGAAGATCTTCAATTTTATCTGCAGTATATTTTTAAGTTTTGTTTTTAAATAACAGTTAATTCTTTTATTTATTTATTTATTATTTATTATTTATTTATTTATTTATTTATTTATTTATTTATTTATTTATTTCCAGAGGGAGAAAGCACACAAGAGCAGGGGGAGGGCAGAGAGAGAAAGAGCATCTCAAGCAGACTCTGCACTGGGTACAGAGCCCAAAGGGGGGCTCAGTCAGTCCCCAGACCCTGAGATCACAACCCGAGCAGAAACCAGAGTCAGACGCTCAACCAACTGAGCCACCCAAGTGCCCCAGAATAATAGTTATTTTTGTGGGTTACATATTTGTTTTGTTATTCTCTGCCCTTTTCTGTGCTTTTAAATTGTTTTTTTTTTTAATTAAAAAAATTAAGTCAAACAGTTTGGTTTTCCCCGTTAATGTCTCAAGAACTGAAACTTGCAAAAGCCTATCTCCATTCATTTGGGTATATCCATTCTGGCAAGACTACATGAAACAAGTGCTAGTGCTAAATTAGCAAGGCTGTTTACTAAATCCTGACTTAGACCCTCCATAAGGAGGACCATTTCCTTCCAGAAGAAGCGTACTCTTTCATGAAGGCTTGAGGAATCTCTCCTCTATAAAAAAGTAATGCTGTCTGAGATAGTTTCTAGTTCCAACCTAACAGATAAACTGTATTTATTGTTTTGGGGGATTCAAAATTCTAAACAGTAGAGTTCTGGATTCTCAAATAAGCTTTATGAGATCCTTCTACCCACCAGACAGAATTAACACATAATTTTAGGAGACTTAAGCTAACCAGTTGTTTCAGGAATATTCTTCTTGTTTTCTAGAATGTGGCTTATTTATGTTGTACTTCCTCAACCACCTCTAGCAATGCACAGTTTAATCTAAAGCACAAAAAGAAACATAATTTCTGACCAGACTCACACTCCTGAGTTATGATTGCCAAATGAAATATATCTGGAGTTTTACTTTCAAATTAATTTCATATTTCTTCATCTGGCATTTCTGAAGCTGTAAGATGCCCTGTGAAAAAACTGTCTTTACTTAAGAATTGGTGCTTGGGAGCCTTGCCCCTGACCTAATACCACTTGGATTCTTCTATATACCTCTCAAAGCTCCACCTGAAGGAACCAGAGGTTAATTTACTTAAACCAAAAGCTGGAGTTTTCACTGGCACTTTGCATGACAACAGCATTAAACAGGATGGCACACTACCTAATTAGATTTGAAAAAGCCCACCAACTGACATCACACATCAACCACCAATGCAGCCACCACTTACTGGTCACGAACAACACATGGCAATTTTAGGTAGACTTAGACCAGCTTCCTAGAAGGAAAGCTTTATACCCATGGTCTCTGCTCATAAGGCCCAGGTTAATAACAGATCTCAACATCACAATCCTATTCCATCATGCCAGTAACCAGTTTCCATCATCCAGCCGTATGTTTTTACAGGAACCCTACAGACATCACCAGAGAATTCAGAAGCTGTCACCCAACCCCAGCTGTATTCTATCAGGGGTCTTCATGTTGCTTTGCTTTCTATTTTCTGCAACCACATTATGATAGAACTGGCAGCCACAGAATTTACCATCTGCTATGGATACTGAAAGGGGTGTGTGTTGGGGGGAGGGGAGGGCCTATGCATAACGGCAAATGCAGCTGACTTATTCCCAACCAGAGCTGAAAAAATTTGAAGGACGTACCCGTCTACTAAGCAGAAATCCAAACATCCGCTTATTTCATCATTTTAGGTCAACTCAAAAAAATATCTTGCAACCTTTATCTCATTCTAGCCACAGAAGGAAACCAGCAAGGATTCTGGGCCTCTACAGGAGAATGTTAGATCTCTGTGTCCAGCAGAAGCCCCGCACCCATCCTGCCCCTTCCTCTACCCTGCCCACGCAGCTGCGGCATTTGTAGAAACTGCTTCTTTTTGTGTGAGAATTGCTCATGAAGACTTTGCAATGGCAACAGATGTGAGGGCCCACATCACTTAATCATGATGCCCAGCAATTCTCTGGATAGCCTGCGGCTGGGGTAGAACCCGGCAACAGGAGCCCTGGCTGCTTTCAACAAGCTGGATGACATGAGGTCTCTTCTAGAGCCTATTTTGGCTCTTTATGAAGTGGTGAATGGACCAGAGGTTGCCCTTGCTAGTTCTGAATATTGGAAGCCCTGTTCTTAAAAGGAGAGGGCCCTGGCTACGTTCCTTATCTGTTCCTTGAGTCTCACCCAGCCAGATACCTGCATTTCAAAGCACTGGCAGAGTGATCTGCAGAGGTGAGTGTCTCCAGGGTGAACTGGCAACGAACGCCCCCCTTCCCCAGCAACATGGGCAGCTCCCTACCTCCTCCTTCACACATCGACTACGGTTTATACAAAAATGTCTTGCTTCACAGGCTCAGAAGAAATACAGAGAAGTTGTAGATACGAAGACTTCTTTACATGTTGCTGTGTGTATATTTCATGCAAGAGAAACCCCAATATTCTCAACTGGGTCTAGCCTCCACGAACGTGAACATCCATTTCGATCTCCGTGGTGCACAAACCCAGTGGAGGGTTGCCAGCCCACAAAAAGGCCAGTTTGAGGTCCAAGAAGTGCACACATGTGCCATGGACACACAACATCAACAAAGTTAGGCAATGTGCACACGGCACGTACCTTAGTTGGGTGGACCTACCGTAACTATGGAATGCCTCGGTGTCCTTCCTCG